CTCAATAGTTCAGCTCTGTTGTCCCCTGATGTGACATTTGGAAGAGCATTGCATTGCACTGGCAAAACTCGAGTGAGTGCTACAATGGCAGCAGGTGGGAGCTCTTGCAGTGACTTGTAGAGGCATGGGCAGACATTGGTCATCAAGACATCCCAGCCTCACAGAGGAGTCTAAAAGGCACCGTTCCTTTAAGGAAAAGAGAAGAGAGATAAGTGAAAGCCCTTAATTTGCAGTCTCACCTGCCAGAGGAGGGAGTGGCAGAAGACTACAGAAGAGATGCTCTTTTCCTCATCATCAAAACAAATGCATGCATCTGAAAGGCATAATTGATAAGCCCTTTAACCTTGCCCTGCTTAGCAGAAAAAAAGGGTTGAGACCTCGGCTGAGCTTCCCATTTCATTTATGGTTTTTTCTGTACATCCATGGGAAGTGCCTGCAGCTCCCACCTCCCAGCAGCACCCTTGGCTCCCATGGCAGTGCATCCTGCAGCAGAGCTGGGTGAGGTGGCTGCTCCTGCCAAGCATCTGCCTGTCGGCAAAATCTGAGCTTGGCAAGCTCTGAAATGAAAGGGAAGAAGTCGTGTCAGTGTGGAACAATGTTACCTTAACAATGATGTCTGGGAGACTTCCCCCTGTGCAAGCTTAAACACTTTCTGATGTTTTATTCAAACAAATGATGTGCAGAGACACCACATGTTTTCAGAGTGGAAGGGATAGAAAAATGATCTCATTAAGTTGCTGAAAAGTAACTAAAAAGGATGGAGATGCACTAGGTAACTAGAAGCATAATGCCCCACGGACAGCCAGGAGCATCTCCCAAGGCTACAACAATAAAAGGTGCAATCAGTGAGAAAAAGCAGCTACAAAAACCACAATGAGCCACAGCCTTTGTGGAAGACATTAAAACCATTCAGAATAGAATCATTACTAAGGTCACGCTGAGGTCAAAAAGAGAGTGAAATGGCATTAAAACGAGATGAGTATTCAGAACATGCAATACTAATTTTTCCCATTTCAGAAAGTGGTTATTAAATGTCCCCTTTGCCTCTTTCTTTGCTGTGTTTCCATATAGAAAAGGAGGCAACTCTTGCTTGACCTTTGGAGTAGTTTGTAAATAGCTTTACTATCACTAATATTTAGCCAAAACAAACTTACTTATAACCACATTACGAAGTGTCAGACAGCCTTTAATGCCTTTGTTCACGTCAGATCACACCTTATAACCCTGCAGCTGCTGATGTTTGAGGAGTGAGAGGTCTGAGCTACGGTGCTGTCACACAGTCTGACTCCTGGAGCTTCTAAATAGGGACCCAAGTGCTAATATTGCATTCCAATACCTGAGTGCATTGCTACTTCGTTAACGTGTTCCTTTCACATCCTTACCTTCCTCTTGAAGATACTGCTGGATATTGCCAGGTGGGCAGATAGGCATCGTAGAGCCAACAATTATTCAATTATTGCTGCTGGTACCCATCAGCTGTGCCGCAGCCCAGCACCAGCCCACAGCCCTCCCTCCTCCAGAGCAGCAGCCATCACTGTGGCTCGGGATTGCACTGCAGCGGATGTGATTCCAGGTTATTTCTTACTTGAATATGTTTTTAAAAGAAAAACAACTGCAGAGTAAGAAGCTGGGAGCCTGTAATGGATGGCAAAGGCCGTGCTCTGAGCATATAAGCTTTTGATATATTACTCAAGTTAAATTAAAGATTCCGTAACTCATTTCACTTCATTAAAGCTACTAAAATAACAGAGCAACTTTTCCACGGCAGGGATTAATTTCTGAAGCAGCACAGGGGCATTTTGTTTCAGTGCCTTCAGTGCTTGATGCAAGATGATTGAATCAGACAAATGAAAGAAGAGATCTCTATCTAGCAAGGTTAGTTATAGTTATAACTGGGCTTATGTCTAAGATTTGTGCTGAAGTACACAAGAATGGAAATTGCAAGGTAAGAAGCTTGCTAAAATGCCATGGAAGGTGTGACAGAGCTGCTCCTGGAGCAGTAGGAAGGGCTAAGGGTGCTGTCAGTGTTACAAATGCTGATTCAGGTCAGATGTTCACTACCGCGATTTCTCAGCAGCCAGATGTTCTCTGCTGTTCTTATTGGAATGTACTGCTTGATTTTAAACAAATGTTTTAAATTAGCTTAATGGGAGTGCTTTAGGGGACGTGAATTTCCTGGACTGGACAAAGCAAATGCTGTCCTACATATTTTTAAAGGATGAGAGATCTCAAGTGTCCTCAATATTTAATACCTAAAATTAGATGTCATTCCTATGTCCTATGGAGTGACATCTAAATGGATGGAATCGTTCCTTGGTGAAAATAGGGTTCGTTTAAAGAAACTTCAATTGCACATAAAAATTACCTTTGTAGAAAATTTGTAGATTGTTCAAATATATCTATATATTTTGGTTTTGTCTTACAGTTTGTTCTTACATTGGTGGGTATAAGTTGCTGGGTTGTCTACAGTAGAACCTTTGCTCTCAAATTCTGAATGCAATTAAATGTTTGGAGGATGGAGGCTTTCTGTTGGTGTATGTCAGGCAGCATTCAGTATGGCACAGGGAATCACTGGGGTGTGTGCATGGAAATTCCAAGCGCTCGCTGACTGGGCTGCAGGGGCTGCTGCTCCATAGGATTCTGGTTTCAAACATTAAAGCAAGTGGGCTTGGACCAAGCACACAGAGGAGGGCAGAAAGGAAATACATTCTGGAGTGATGAAATTACTTTGGACAACTTAATGAAAAAAAAATGCTCAGATCCCACTGAGCCATTAAATGATTGATTTCCACATGGAAGCACCCATCTCCGCTGACAGGCCTTTGACAAAGGCTTTAATTTCATGTGGAATAGTTTTTGACCAACAGATTAAAAAGACTGAGGGGAGAAAGGGACTGAGCAGGTTATGAGCCCAATAGACAGGAGAATATGTGTCATAAAAGGAGAACAAAGTGCTGATGTATTCATTAAACACGAAGGCAGACCTTACAGATGTTTGGATTGCTTAATATTCAGACTATGCTGATTGTAAATTATATTTGCAGAAAGAGTACAAACACTTTTAAATCTCCCAATGTACAATTTAGCATTTTCTTTTGATGGTTGCCTTTTTTAAGTCCTGATGTGTCAAATAGGTTAATATCAAAACTGATTTCCCTGAGATCACCAAGTAATGACCTTTGGCTAATTTGGAGCTCTGAGGCTGCTGTCAGGACTTGAAACAGTGGTGGTCAGCATGAGATCGAGGGCAGCATCCCTAAGGGCTCTGAATTAATCTATTGACTCAGCCAAGCTGCCGAGCAGATCCTGGCTGAACATGAAGGGCTCCTACAAACTCTGGCATTCCTGATAACACTTGTAACTGCTAATTTCAAAGGTTAACGCTCCAAACGCTGTGTTACTTTTTAATTATTATTGGAACCAGGCCCCCTCAAATACAGACTTTACCAAACTATTAACAGAATGCGCTAATAACCTCATAGCCATATTCATACTCCAGCTCCTTGGGAGTGCTGCTTTTTGTCCCATTCATGACTACTCAAATGAGCTGTAATGAGGCCAAAGAGGAGCTTGCCTTGTTATCTTTAACATCTTAGAGATCTGTATCAGAAGCCTTTCCCCACTTCCCCCCAGCCAGGTGGTACAGCCCACCTCCACGGGGCTCTGCTCAGCGCTAAGATGAGAGTTCAGATCAGTACGATCTGTTTTCCAGAGGCAGGTGCTCAGAGCCAGCTGTTGATTGCAACATTGGCAAAGGATAAGAGCTGACAAATTCTGTTTGCTATGGGAAGAAAAAGAAAGTTCCCTTTGCTTCCTTTGCTTCAGTGAGAGTCAGAGCAGGGCAGGAGGGGGAACAGCAGAGCCATAGCAGAACTGGGAACTGCATTATCCTGGCTGTGTTAATCCAATGCCAGCTTTCTGCTTGAGAGCAGACAAAAGTCGACTTGGAAACATCACTTTTTGGGTCTGTCCTGGCTGAGGATAAAATAGGAATGCAGCAATGAAGTCTAAAAGCTCAAACAGGTGTGCTGTAGGGCTCATTACGATGAAATGTTAATTTGGGAAGCTCTCATTTCACAAAATGCAGGCTCTAACTGGACTTTGCCACACAGTACCAAATTGTCTCCACTCCTGGAATAATGTTGCCAAGAAATGGCACAGTGGTACCCATTGTACAGGTCCACAGCTTTCATCCCGTTCCTGGCGATTCAGTGACAGAATGAATTGCAAAATAAAACGCGTGTAATTGGATTAATTAACAGTACATTTCAAGGTCCTGAAATGCAGAATTAGCCATAGGGCTAAATGCACAATACAGGTTTTTCCCTGTAAACAGGACCCGTGCTATTTTGGCTCTGTGTCTGTACCCCAGCGAGGTGTGCCTTGCTTGAAAAGCTGCGTGAATAAGAAATGGGGCTTCAAAAAGGGAAGATAAATACTGTAATTAGGGCTGCAGGACAACAAAAGGATTATTCAGAAATGTAAAATCGTTTGAGTGAAGTCATATGAAAGATAATTATACCTAAAATTGCCTGCACGGGGTCTCATATTTTCTTTACAAGGACTTACAAGACTCGCTGAATATTTATGGGCCCGGAATATAAGACTGGATGAAATTTAAAACATAAATTCAATGGTAATTTATTGTGATGAAATTCCCTAGCAGTTGTTGCCCCAACCTTTTAGCCTCACTAGACAGGCTTCATGTTGCAGAACATAAGCCCATGTGATAAATGATATCAAAGCTCAGTGCCTTTGATTGATGAGCGCTGCTTTGTCTGATGGCCGTAAAGCAGTCCTGAGGGCTGAGCTCACCACTATTTTGGGTTTCTTCCTTTTTTTTTTTTTTTTTTTTTAAATGCATATATTGCAGAGGGTTTGTTTGTGCTTCTGGTATGGTTATCACATGCAAATGAGCACGCTGTTTCCCAGATGCACTTTTCATATTTATAGATTAAATACAGCCTGAAAAATCATATGTTAATTACATTCTGAGGGTATAGCAGAATTTCTCACTTGCACATGTTTTGTTTTGCTGGAAATAACACAAATTCCAGTTCAATCTATTTAGTTCCTTGAAGCTTGCTGATAAACATTCTACACTTTGGGAAAAGCTTTCTAATTGTGACTGTTTCCAATCATTTATTACCATTAGCTCAATGCTTTGAAGTATAGCTAATTTCTATCGCACGTTACGTATTTGTTTATTTGTTAATAATCTGTATTTCTCAGGAGATGATAGATGCCACAGGAGTGGGGAAGGCCAATGGATTAGTGCCAAATAAGTGGAGTATCAGAGACACATGGGCAGAGGAGACGTGAGGTGTTTTAAGAGGACCAGCACAGCCTGCAGTATGCTCACTTAGATTAAAAAAAAAGACCATTTATTGCTATTGTCTATCAGCGTCCCCTACCACATTCATCATGCTGAAATCAGTGTCAGAGGGGTTCCTCCCTTAACACAGAGCTTGCTGTGCCTAAAAGACAGACTGCAATACTACAAGAGGCCCTGCTAATCCTGCTAACAGAGATGTCCAAAGAAAGATGCGGAGGCAGAATGAGAAGCTGTTCAGTGGTAGATGCATTCTAAGCTGAGAATTAGTGCAGGCGCACTCACATCCCAGTGTGTAAAGGGGACAACAAAGATTTCAGAGAAATGTGCTTAAAAGGGTGTGTAGCTATTCTCTGATTTGAGATTAGGCTGCTTTTGCCCTTGGGGATTGTGATGTCCCATGTTATCGAAGGCAATGCTGAGCACATTACAAGGAAAAGGGGGATATGTTTTAGAGAAGTCAACACACAACATTCAAATTCCTTTTTTGTTTACGCTCCCAGTGGCTGCAAAACATCCAAAATACAGAGAAAAGCTTAAAAGATGGACTGAACTCCATTCTTACAAAGAAAAGTCAGACAGAATAGCCATTCAAATCAATAGAAAACTCACAGTCATGGGAACGGGATCAAATCTATACAAAGTGTACAGTTTTTCAGTCAGAATTGAAAGTTTGACACTCTTCCTTCTATAAATACAAGTTCTTTGATGACCAGTTATGGAATCAAAGATATGTCCATAATCACTGTGCTAGCAAAAATGATTAGCATGGGCTTCAAGTATAGTTAAGTCTCCCTTTAAAATAGCCTACTGCAGTGTGTTAAAATATATCCTGAGAACCACAAATGAGAATGAACAGTTCCAAAATACATAGTAGATTGAAAAATACTTTTTTTTCCCCCTTCATTCCTTTTTATAGCTCTCATAAATCTTTTAGCAAATAGATAAATAACCAAGGTACCAAAGTAACTGGCAAATTAAGAGGTAGTTTATGTAACAAAGCATCCCTGCCTGCAAGCACATCTTGCTGCCGAGGGCAGTACCATGCAATTCTGGAATGAGAAACCATGTATGGCCGTCAGGTGCTGTGCCAACCTACATGATTACAATCAGGACTCAAGAGAAAATGCAGACGTGTTACTGTTCAGCCATACCAGCTAAGCTGAAAGGAATCCAGGTACCTTTAGGGCAGGAAAAAACATTTCCTATATTTTTTGTTTTCCCTAAGCATCAACACTTTGTTTATCAATGTATACATCAATATCAATAGATACATCTGTCTTTTAGCCTGAAGAAGGCTTTCATCTTAATAATTTTGTACTCTGTATATTTAGTCATGGCTTTAAGTACTTGAATGTGCATGTCACACGTACCCAAACATTCAGATTGGTATAAGTGGAAAGAAAAACTGCTTCTGGAGAAATGACTTTAAACTAAAAGAGGGGAGATTTAGATCAGATATTAGGTGGAGATTTCTTATGAGGAGGTTGGTGAAGTAGTACAGGCTGACCAGAGAAGCTGGGGATGTCCCATCCCTGGTAGTGTGCCCAGGACCAGGTTGGATGGGGACCTGAAAGCCTCCTCTGGTTGATGGCAACCCTACCCACAGCAGGGGGTTGGAACAGGATGGTCTGTATGTTCCATTTCAACCCAAGCCATTCTACGCTTCTAAGATTCTATACTGCATTTTGTTAGGATGCAACATGATCACAACATTTGACATAAGCTCTTGGTGGTGAAGCGCTGCACTGTATACAAGAAATCATCCTCCTTCTGAGGACTTTACACAAAAAATATGTGTCTGCTCAAGGAATATATTTCTCCTATGTGATCTTAGAAACTGATACTGGTCTGTGATGAATTGGTACACTAGAGACAGTGTGCTGAATTAGATAAATTTGATAGTTTGAAGTAGCAGGCAACTCCTGTGATGTTGGTGCATTTGAATAGAATAATAATGCATGTCTTACTATCTCTTCCAAAAAGAAACCCAGAGAAACCCAAATCTAATTACATTTCCATCATTAAAGTGCTCTACACAGACTGCTGGGTCTGGCAGTTCACTGGAGTCTTAGGACAAGATTCTGATAGGCTTTTCTCTCGCATTCCCATGAGTGATATTTCTTCACATAGTCTTTGGCCCTTGTTACAATTTCTCTTTCCATAATGGGGTCATTCATCAAACTCTTGGACAGCGCAACAAACTCCTAAAAAAGATAAAGAAAATAATAAATTAAAAGTTCCTTGAAGTTCTTATGATACTGAAATAACTTGTGCCTGTATCTTGGCTACAGTAAAACTCTTCATCTGCGTGCCAAAATTGGAAGCCGTTTAAAGTTATTTTTTTTCAAGGTCAAATATCATAGTTTATTTATAAACAATGATTAATAAATAATTATTCTCTTTTATTCAGCCCACCAAGTCATTTAAAACCAAAGATAAATCCCGGGAGCGTTAAGACAAATACACATACAGCAAAATTTAATGCCACAAAAAACATTTGCCTACGCAAGTGTTACGAAGCCAGGCCAGCTATAAATTAATTAAAAATTCACCTGCTCCCTTGCATGGAGCACAGCTGGCATCAGTATATCTGATCTTGGCCCAGCTATACTTAAACTTCATTGCTGTTGTAACATCATTAGTTAATTTTGTAGTGAGACTGGAGAACTCACTACGTAAAGACTGTCACAGTATTAAGATAAGAGCAGGCATGCGGCAACAAACTCTTACTCTGTTGCAGATGGATAGTTGTAGATCCAGTGTGAGCTCAACGTGCTCTACAAAAAAAGCTATATACAAATTTCCTGTATTTGGCAAAGTACTAGAACTGGCAGGTTATAACAACAACTTTTTCTGCTCATCTGCCACTCTAATTTACTTCTCGGGCAGAGAATTTGTGAACTTCAGGTGTGTGAAAGGAGATTTGATGTCTGAACTAATCTATTCTGAGCAGCTGGTCTAACATTCTATCGAGGGACAACTTCTGATACCTCAGCTTGATTACAAATGGGCTCTGATCTCTGCAGAATATTGTCTTGGTTCAGCTCAGAAATGAAGATAGCTATTGTGCCAATGGAAAATTAAGATCCTACATTGGTACGTAATTGATAGTGCAAGTAAGTGTATGAGTACAGGGGGGATAAGAAGGGATGGGAGAAGGAGATACACTTCATACAAACTGTCAGCAGTGAAAGGAAATATCACAAATAACACCAGCATTTATATCTACACAAGGTGAACTAGTAAACCATACTTGAAAACCTAGGTGCCCAATGTATATAAACAAATATCTAGATACAGAATATTTGGCTACCACAGAATCGATGCTGCTGCTGTAATGCAAGTTATGGCTATGCATAATACATAACTATAGTGGGACCCGTGGGAGACAGTGGTACATGAAATCACATCAAACATGTTATAATCACTGCCCTGATTCTCACTGACAAGACAAACTATCAATAGATGCAACTCTGACATGAGATTTAAACAAGAGGTGCACAGGTCGGTTCTGTTGGAAAGATGTGTAACTAACTGTAGATACTAGACAGATTACTTTCACATATGAATTTTACCAATAACCTCAAATTTAACAGAAAAATCACCACCAGGCTGTAATCTTTGCACAGATGCTTTTCAGCTTGCATGGCTAATGGATGCAAAGAGATCTGCCCAGAGATCTCAGCACATTTCTCCCACACACACTTCACCTGTGCCCAGCACACCACATGCTGCATTGCAGGACTCCAGCCAAACTTCAGGCTCTCTCTACTGCCTTCCCAACCATTGCTTTTGGAACAGCCCTGAGGACCACATACATACTTCATCCAGCCTGCTTTCCATCCACAATTACCATGCATTCGGGTGTTTTCTGATTAGTAGGTCTGGTCTAGTGAGTAACCTGAGGCCCCATCTATCCAACACTGCAGGTACAGCCAAGGACTCCAACTCTGGAGGTTTGTTCTTTTCCTTCCTCCATATCTGCCAAGAATACAGAACAGGGAAGGTGGGAAAGTCTTACGTGACTTATGCTGGTTTCATCCAATTGCCTGTATAATCATGGTAATAAATACTCTTCACACTGAACTACATTCCAACTTTAATTTTATGCTCCTGTGGAGGATTTTATTTAAAGTAATGTTTAAAAATAATTTATGTAAATTACCTAAGAACAGAAGCAGTAATGTAATATTTCTTGACAGGTAGTCCTATTAGCATTCTTTTAAAATGTGGCTATAGAGGACAAAAACTTGGAAACATGTAAATGATAGAAGAAATGAGATCCTTATTCACAGTTACAATACTAAGTGCTGGTGATAATTTCAAGAAAAATGACAAACTGAGTCCAAAGCATGAAAGTTGAAAAGCTGCAATAGAGAGGAACCACAATTGGAAAAATACTGGGAGGCTGGGAATGAGGATTTCTCAGCTTTATCCCTACTTCTGCTAATCAAATGTGACCATCACCTAGGCACTCTCTGTCTGGAAGCCAATGGGAAGTTTTGCTATGACTTATCTAGGTTTTGCCTCATATTCCTGAAGCATTTGGCTTAGCTTCTTTTCAGTTTTGGCTACTGAGCTCTGGTCAGCAAGAACTTTATTTTTCAGGTGTCACCCTTTCTTTAATTGGAAAAGCCTATGATGTGTGAACTACTTAAGGCATGGTACCATGCCTTAATCAGCAGTTATGCTGTATTTGTGCAGTTGATATTCACATGAATATTTGTGCACTATTATTTTATTGTAGATGCAAAGTATGTTTCACGTTTGGTGAAGGAGAAGCAAAATTCACATTACTCTTCAATTATTAAACATGATGATACACACTTCTAAAGCCACCACGAGAGGTGATACACATGCTAACTTAATGCTTGAGGGATAACAAGATATCTAATAAGCCTTTTGTTTGCATATAGGAGTAAAATTACTGTAGATGTCACAGGAAAACACATTGTAAATTTGAACCTCAGCATTTAGCCCTAAACAAAACAGGGGGGAGATCATCTTATGTATATCCAGAAGTAATATTACATGTGCTGTGTAATGGAAATGCTGAGTCGTGACCTGAAGCAGTGATGGAGCACCTGGTGGGAAGCTCAGGTGTACTGCAATGCAATGCACCTGTGTGATTGGAAGGAGTAGAGCCAGGATCCACCCCCTCCCAGACCTCATTTAAGGGTTGGCAGTGCAGGTAAGGGTATCTCAGTGGAGAACCTTGCATTCCTAAGGCCTTCTGGAGGTAAGCAGATTTGTTTGTTTAATTTTATTTCTGTAGCTGTTGCATTTGAGCAGACCCTTGCTTGCTGTAGCCTGTGACCTTGCTGCTCTGCTTTTCTCTGTGTTACAGTCTTCTTTATGAGTATACTTCACAGGCATTTTTCAACAGTAATATTCATGCTATGTTTTTCCCCTGGTAAACTGACCAACCATTTCTAAAGACAATATCAACTTAAGTAATACCTAAACAAAATTCTGTGTGAGGTTTTTTGCAGAAGCCCAGAAATACCAGTATCTGTCTAGAAAACAAAGCTAGAAAACAGACTGAGAAAAGAGAATGAATGTTCTTTCAATTACTGCAGGAATCATATTGATGCTACAGTGATGAAAGTAAAATGCATGGTTTATTTATTATTTATAGAATGAAAGTAAGTCTGCAATTAAACCATTTCGTATCAGCTTCAGCAGATAAAAGAACATGATTCTTAAACATCAGAGAATCACCCCAGGGAAGGCAAATGCCAGCTGTATGTAAACTCAGAACAGTGACAGATCTACCTTGTGGCTGGCAGAGCTGAGAAGTTACCTGGCATGTCTGTGTACTTCATAGAACAACAGGTCAGTATTGCTGGGGGAGCGTAAGCAATAATTGCTGGCACTGCATGCAATCACAAATTAAACTATTCAGTACCAAGGTTCAAAGGGCTTAAAAACTTCAGCTACGTTCTGGCTTGATGTCCTGGTAGGAATGGCACTGACCCACGTTTGGCAGAGGAAAGCCATGTGCACTCAGTGTGTTGCTGCCAGTAGCCAGCTGAGCTGTGTTTCCCTCTCGCAACTTCAAAAGTTTTCTCTGCTCACAGTAGTCCTTCCAGGTCCTATGTGCACTCAAACTCAGTTAGTGCTTGGCTCTTCACTTTCTGGCTTTGAAGTTTGTTTACCTATTTCTGTTTATTCGACTCCTTTGGTAAGCTTTCACAGATGCTGGACGTATAATTTTGAACCCTAGGATGCAGAATAATTCTTTGTGTCTTCCTATTTAATGTGGTTTTGCATTATTTATTGCCCCAAAGTAGCTGCCTATTCTCTCTTCCTTATCGTTTTTTCTTTCAGATCCCATTAACTCAGTGTCAAATATTCCATAAACTTGCAAATTCAAGTAATGGCTGGATCAAGCCATGATTTAAAAGTAAGGTGTGCAGATGATGTAGTATCAAGGACAAAATGTTTCATAGCTTTCACCTTTAGTTTAACTGGTATTTTCATCTCCATATTATCTTCAGTGATTGGCAAGACTTTATTTTCAGACATGAAGACTCAGCATATATATGCAAATAGTTAATGGTGACTACAGTTCAGCCCAAAATTTCCTACTTGCCTATAAGCCGTAAAAGTGCACTTCCTTCAAGAATAAATAAAGAATACCACCAGTGATCACAGTTTAAAATGATGTCCATTGTATAAGGGTCAATTTATATCCTTCTAATTTAGCTTTCAGTGGTTAGAGCAGTCCACAGACCAGACAGTGACTTTTAAACTAACCACATAGTGAAGCCTCTCCTACCCAGATCAGTAACAACTTGAAATTAAGCAATGTTTTATACTCCTGACCTGTACATACATCACAACAAAATAGAATCTGCTGAACTTAAGCACTGAAGATTTCTTCAACCTTTTTCTCAAATCTTTGGTGACCCAGGTTCTTCAAGACAGAGACAGACTTTCCCAGCCACCTGGACACCATAATGATGGTCCATTTAAACCATTCTTTGAAGTATAACACGCTGCAATTCAATCACAGTGTGAAGGACCGCAGCCATTCACATCTACTAACCACTTTGAGTGTTCTAGGTGGTTGTGGGTTGGTTTTTTTTTTTTTTTTTTTTTCGTGTTTGTTTCTGGATTGAGGTCTGTTTTAGCTTTGGGCTAAAACAGAAGAATGGGTTTTGTGTGCAAAGCAGTGTTTTACCTTCTTTTGTTTGACTTTGCTGAGCATAGACTTGGACAGTTTGTAGGGTATCCCTTTAGATCAACCCTTCATCCGGTGACTGAAGGACAAGGCTGCGTGACAAAACAGACATGGCAGTCTCTGTTAAGGCCTGTCTCTGTGTGAGATGGAATAAACGCTTCAATTTGCAGGAAATAGTGGACAGAGATGGAGATAAAAGGACATACGGATCTCAGGATAGGGAAAAGGGGTAGCAAACTGAGTCTTCTGTGTTCCTTGTTTGTTTTTGTTTTTTTTTTTTTTCCTCATTGTCCCTGTTTTCTTAAGAACAAATGAACATATTGAAGAGGAAATGAAAGTACAAAAGGAAATTCTTGTGGAAGAGCAAGTTTCTTTAACTCCTGTCTAGTCTATGAGAGTAGCTATAATAACCAGGAAGAACCTGGCAAATACTTAGAAAAACTAACAGTTTCCAAACAGTTTTGGTTGGTTGATTTGTTTCTGATAGAACTAATGTAAGAACAAGGAAGGCTGATATCACTGAAGTTATAGAAGGAAATATTCTGATATTCTGGATACTGAAGGTGTCGTAATCAGAATAACAAAAAAGAGAATGCTTTTCCATCTCCATTGTCACACTGAATCTTTAAGGGCAATGCTGGAAGTGCTATGGACATTGTTTTTATTTCCAAGATTAAAACAATGAGAAATGCCTTCAAACTGTTCTCACTTAATCACATTTTTTGATCTAATGTAGCTCTTGAGTTCTGATAGACAGTAAATAGTGATTTTTTTAAAAACTGTATTTGTTATGGTTTGGAGGGATAAGAAGCAACAAAAAACAAATGGTTACTTTATCTTTAGAACCATGAGTGAAAACAATTGGCATTCTGGCCATGTCTGTGCAAGGAGAAAGTTCTTCAACTTTGCAGTGGGATTAGAATGTTGTTCTGCAAACAAAAAGTCATCTGACCCATCAGCAAATGTTGATGTTTTCTACATTATTTGACCCCAATAATATTATAAAAAGGCTTTTATAAAATGGAATGAAACCAGTCATAGATATCATGCTTTCTTCTAACTAAGGAAATATATAGCATATTTTAATTGATCTTGAATTCCAAATAGAACTTGGAATGTAAGATGCTTTGAGATCACAGAAGAAGCTTCATACAAGAATGTATGATGAAGCTAATTGGGTCTGGTATGAATAATGTATCTGAATTCTATGCCAGATACAAGCAGAATGTTGAGGGAAACACCAGAATGTATCAGAATTAATATCAGTAGAGCCATCACTATGCATGTTCAACACGATGATATATTCTTGAAGTTTTGAAGAAGCATATGGAAGGCAAAGAGCTGTTTGCAGGGAATAAATGTATAAATAATTTTACAAGTACCTTTACATCTCAGCCTCCATTATCCTGAAAGCATCCCATTTTGAAAGGGTATTTCAAGAAGAGAGCCTGCTTCCCCAGCAAAAAACATTCCAGAAACTTTGCTATAGAAACCACTGGAAAAATTGAATATTCCAGGAAAAAAAACATGACCTGCAGGTATGTTTCCATGTCTTAAAAATAATGGAACTAACAGAACTCACCTGCCTGAAACTCCACTTAATAGGATACATTAATCACACACTGCACAAAGTGGTTAATATCATACATTCTGTACTTCACAAAATTATCAAATACACTGTTCTGGTAAACTGTATTTAATCTTGAGTTGGATAAAACACTAAAAATTTAGCCAATAATTAGTATCTAGGACATTCTGTTTTATGGAATAATAAACATTTTTTTTTTTTTAATGCTTTCTTCACTAACTGCTACCACGTTTATATTATTGCTTTTGATCTCAAATTCTAAAATGAGTGAGTTCTTGCAAAATAGGTTCATAACTAATTTGAAACCTAAATATGAGTTTTCTTTGTATGATGGTTTACATATGACGGGAGCATGAAATGATTTAAGTATACTAAACTAAGCAGAAATATTCTTCTAATCAAGTGTTAAAGTTAGTCCTTAGAAAAGGGGAAAAAAAAAAAAGAGTTCTCTGTAATATTTATGAATGGGGACTTTAAAAGTAGCTATTATAACCTCTCTGCTGCTGCTTTAGAGGAACTCTATAAGAAAAATGAATGAACTAAATACAGGAATCTGTGTCAAACACATTTTTTTTCTTATACATATACATATATATATATATATATATATATATATATATGAAAATACATAACAGCAAAGCCACAATGCAAAGAAATATACTCTCTCTCCCCACTTATCTTCATAGAAACTCTATTCTGAAACTTTGCTAAATTTTAGTCATTAATTATTTTCTGACTAAGCAATATCTTTGACTTAATAATGCTTTATGTTAACACTTACTGCTGGACATTATAGATAATACATTATCTAAAACTTCAGGCTCATACTTCTTTCAGTTGGCTTTGGGTTGTGTAACACAAGTTCATATTTCGGTTAGTGCTCAGAAGGAAAGATGACAGATGCACAACGTTTATTCCAAGGCTTTCTTATGGAACCTTCAAAACTGAAGTGCCATAAGTTGATGAGAACTCAGCCCCATTCATTTGGCAGGCTCTAAAGCAGCACAGGCTAGAGAAACATTCAGCAAGGCTGACACCTAGTAAAAGTTCAGCGAATTGCAAAGTGAATGTGAGACAACAGCAGAGCTTCCAGTAAGGAGATTTAACACCTAGAGTTTTAGAGGGAACTGAGGAAAACTGTTCAGTGAAAAAGTTAAGTTCCCAGAGAGACATTAGCATGTAATTAGAAAGTGAACCTAACTTTTGGGAGGGAAAGAAAACTAGTTGAAGGCCTTATTGTTTTGTTACCTGGGGATCTGAAAATAGCAGTCCTGTATCTTTATGTTTTATTATTGCTGCATTTCCAGGAATGTTCCTTGCAAGTACTGGAATATTCAAGTCCATTGCCTAGTGGAATATGGAGAAAGAAAACAATAGTTTATTAGAACACAGCTATTTTGAGATGTTAATGATGACAATTTTAAAATGAAAAACGGAAGCAATTAATTCAATTCAGTTAATTAATTAGTTCAGTTCTTCCCCATTTCTTCAACATTATAGCTGGAAAAATATCATGTCTAAGCTGATCTCCTTTCTCTAACTTCTCTCAAATACTTTTTATTTTTATCAGTCTTGTAACTTTGGAAATATCTTCAAAAGCAACCAATCCAGAAGGATAATTAGTAGCTGTTTAATCCTTTATTCCTTTCTTTCTCAAAATATGTGGTTTGTTTCCTACTGGAATTTCCCAACATATAGAAGGTTTTAAGAGGATAAAATTAATGTTCAGATCAAAGGTTGTCACTGTAACTCCTACCATTACTGCATACAGAGAGATTTAGTTTGTAGCACCAAAAGCCAGCTCTCTTCAACATAAAGTATCTGGTCTCTTGTTCCATAAAACGCATTTTATCTCAGATTTTGTACAGCATGTGCAGAACTGGAGAGCTGGGCAGCATCAATATTGGTGAGATGGAAATCACTTAGCTCCTGTCTTTAGTTCTGATTCCTATTGGTCAAATAAGACTCTTGAAGGAATTTTGCTTTGGTTGGCCATTGTCACTATAGCCAGGTTTGTCCTCTGAGCATTCAGGGAATGCAGGAAGGCGTGCAGTGACACAGGGCTTCCAACTATGTACCACGCAGGGTGGAGAAAAGGTTGTGCTTTCAGAACATATTGCTCTTTCAAAACATATCACCTACAAAGCTATTGGTTTGCAATTCCTCAGTGACCAAGGAATTCATTGGAAGTAGTAGAGTTAGATTATATATATATATTATATATAAGTTTATTAAGATTATATATATATTATATATAAGTTGTTTTTTTGGTTTCTTTACTCATTTATGTCTTTTATATACACGCGTGTTTATGTGTGTATATTCATCGTTAGGGAAGTGTGGGGTTTCAACATGGCAGCACTTCAGGCTGCCTGCAGAGTCAGGAGCAGAGATGTAGCACAGCATCCGCTCAAAGACAGTAAACCACTTCCAAGAGACCTTAGGCCAGGTGACTTCAGAAAATATGGCTTAGATTTTGAAGTACCCAGTGTGCAAAGGCTGGCCGCTCAGCTCTGCTACTCATGCATACCCTATCTGAAATCTCAATTGCTGTTGATGAATTTGGAAATCTTGAGGTACACTGACTGTAAACCTAGAAAAAACTCATATTGAGTAAGTATCACACTGTTAAATGAGAGAGAAATTCGCTCCTCCAGATCTTTAATCTTTTCAGTGTTCCATACTGATTCCCTGTCACTTCTGAGTGAATGCAGTTTTAATTACTGCCATTACACTCCCGGATGGGAAGTAATTTTCCTTTAGTAGCAGGAAAATAAAACTCCAAGGAACAAAACAAGAGAACATGACATTTGTTTTTATTTTTTATAGTTCACATAAAACTGGAGGCAAAAATACCTTGATACCTTGACTGATACTGTACAGAACCAATTATGTTTTGAACAGTGAAGGAATGCTGCAACTTATTGAATGCATTAATAGCTTAAAGCATCCATGAGAAACTGTGCTTAAATCACCTCTACAGATGAATTTACACTGGACATAGAAATTCAACAGTACTTATGGCACAAGCATCTGCTTTGTTGCAGTGAGGTCTAAAAATAATAATAATCCTTAATGACATAACCTGTTCTACACTTTGTACCAGAAACTACTGTGTCAACTGGAGGCAATTCAGACAAATAGATTAATGAGCTGAGCACAGACAAATGGGAAATATAAAAACTACAAACCAGATTTCTGAATGTAACAGTCTATTGTGACACTGCTTCTTACTGAAAATAATTTGGTGAGGAGAAATAGGGTTTTTAGCCATCCTTAAATTATTTTGTCACTTCCTCTGACTTTACTGTTAAAGAAAATAAGTTTTCCAAAGATAGATTTTAAAAATATATATGATTACTGTATGTAATCAGTACAACACAGTTTATTGAATGCCAGAATTCACCCAGGAGATGGGAGGTGCCAGTATCTGACAGGTTTGGATTGCTTTTGGCCTTAATTACTCAACTGCAGACCTTACTTTGGGGTTACCACACCAACATCAGCTTCTTTCTGATTCAGCAGACTTTCAGCCATTCCTACTGACAGGCCGAAATGCCCTTGTGTTCTGTGTGCTGGTTGTTGTTGATATCACTCAAAAATGTTCGTTGAACAGGGAGCAAAAATATTTCGCTTGAAAATCAGGAGCTTGATAGTGGTTTTGAAGCATGTTGGCATTCACTGTCACTTGCCTAAGGCCCTCTCCTCGCCTCTTTGCATCTCTCCCTTTATAAAACAAAACCACAAGAGTATTTCAGGTCTGGCTACTTTCCAAACAAGCGATTGTTCATTCAAGAGAAATCACCCTTAAAGATAAAGGAAGAAAACAAACAAAACACAAACCCCAGGACCAGCCACTTATCCCCATGACAGTTACCTACAAAGCAGGGAGAAGTTTGGATTTGAGCCCAGGGAGTAGTGGAAACTGTGCCAGCACTGGTCAAATACAAATGTGGTGCCCTGAGTCAGGTCTGTCCTGGGCTGTGCCTCCTCTTATGGTTTTACAGGCCAGCATAACATCGCTATAGCTCAGCCTGGAGTCTAGAATACATTTTTGCTTTTATTTTTTATTATTACAGGGTCTGTTCATTTACTTGTTTCTGAATGTTGTTTAGTTGATAGCTCACTGAAGTTGGTCACTACGTCTGTATTTAGTTTTCTATAATTTCTGTACTGTAACGGGAAATACATTTGTTCCGTCTCAAACACTTGTAGGGCAGTAACCACTACATCAGAAAGCTCCAGGTCCCAAAACACATAGGTACCAGTGAGTTATAGCTACTGAAAGACAGAACAGATGGCTAAATACATAAGATGAGGGGCTGCCTTTGCACTAGCTAGCCTTGAACAAATGGGTTGTGCTGTAAATAATTACTGCATGAAGTGGATTAGAGTGTAATTTAGATACTTAGCCTATTTTTAAGCAGTAAAAATAATCATTTGCATTGTTGAAAACATGTATAATTTACTGACCCGGGTTCCACAAATAATAGCATAAAGTAACATGTTAGTCCATCGGCCATCTGTTTGGTTACATTAACCTGAATGCAAATGTGCTTTAATGCTATTTCAAAAGGGGACAGGATGGAGATTCTGGAGAATCAAGCTTAGGAATCAAGCTACACAATAAGCATTTTTAACCAATGGTCTGGGGCTCACAATGTAAATACAGGTTTTATTTTCAATTCTGTCTTTTGGATTGACCCTTATTTTCTTTCCCCCCCCCCAATCTATGGCCCCTCTTCAATTTCTGTGCTCTGCAACATCTTTTTCTTCACATGTTGTTTAAGAATGAATTGTGCCCTATGGTAGAGCAACTGTCTATCTTTTACTCCAGTGATTACTTTCTTTAAATTGGCTTTAACGTGTGTATGTGTAAATCTAATATGCATAGTGAACTAGTGATTTTTAGAACAGTTGTACTATAGCTGAAAGCATAAAAAAGAATTATCTGATTAAATGGGGCTGGGTTCAAAACGTTTTGCTTTCCAACTGTATAAAAACAGGCAATTTTCTAGCAGTAGTGTTTGCATGGGAACATGCAGAACTCTTCAGCTGAGTTTGGGATGTATGCTAAATGTTTGCTTTCACATTGTTTTCTCTACTTCAAATACAAGACAGAAAACAGGTCAGTTACAGCAAAATCACCAATATATCAGTAGTAAATGACAAGGTAATTAGCCATGGTTTCTAGTTCTTTCATACCTCAAGGCAGGTTTGAAATTGAGATGGTTTATATTTATCTATTATATACTTACCTCATGCTAAAAGCAAGCTAAGAGCGTGCTTAGTGTTTACCAATTCATGATCTGCTTCAATTTTGAGCTTTCAAGAGAATGAAAGCTGCGTTTCCAGATTCAAGCAAGATGTTACAACCAGCCTAGGACTGAAAGATTTTTATGCATCGTTTTCTGCCTTATTAATTTAACAAGATCTAAGCAGATGGCTCTTCCTACTGTTGACCATCTCAGGCAGAGACTTCACTTTATTAGAACGACACTTCCTTTGAGAGGGAGAGATTTTTACAGTAGGGTAATTTATAAGCAGGTCATCAAATCCCACTCTACAACTGTGTAGTAAACAGATGCACAGTACCCAAATCCTTATCACTTCAGAAGCAGCCTTCAAGCAAGTCTGAGGTACTAAGCGGGCAAGCTTCAGGTAGTTTCTTAAGAAGTAGCTAAAAACCTAATTTTGCTTGTAGAGTTGATGGGAACAACTCTGAAAGTGTAGTATAGCCTGAGCTTCCTCCCAGTTTTACACTGTAAAAGATGTTGGGTTTTTTTCTGATGCAAAACAACAACAGCAAAGTCAAAAGTGTAGGAAGATCAACTCTTCTGTCTGTGTAGAGATTTTCAGTGAGAAAAATGAGTTCTTATAGAGAGGGCTTTTCTTGTTTTTTTTTTTTTTTTTGCCAATGGACAGAGATTTGCATCTTGAATTGGTGATAAATTAATCAACACGATCGTGCAGTGGAAACTTAAAAGAGTAGCTTTCCAGTAGAGGTGATATTTGACAATCTAATAGCCCTGAAAGGTTAATTGAATAGTTCATCCACTTGGGAAGAGCTTAAATAAAAACTTTCCTTGTTGATTTATCAGATTCAAAACTTGTTAGAATTGCACTTAAAAGAGACCAAAAATCTGTAGTCCATGAAGCAGGCTCAACATTACTTAAACTGGCCTTATCATTTCACTCTGAGTTACCACATATTTGCTAAGATGCTGTATGTACGCTCCCTCTCCTGGTAAAGGCACTTTCCTTAGCTTTAAACTGCTCACACGTGATGGGAAAATGTGGGGGAAAATTATTCTCATAGTCTCATCAGTCCTGGGCCAAGCACACACTTGCACTTCTGTTGCTGATGCCTTCTCATTTAACAGTCTTTGTTTTGCTTTTTTTTTTTCTTTCCTCTTTAACTCAGTGACATTCACAGGAAGTAATAAGATTGATTTTTGACTGTTCTTAGTGTTCCTGAAGGTAACAGGCAGCTGGTTGGAGGTGACAGGTACTTAACGTTTACTTCTCTGAGTGATGGACTGGGTGGAGGCTGTGCACTGTGTTGGAAATGCTCCACTTCATCTCAGCTGCTGAACATACAAACATGTAGTAGTTATGTAGTGTAGTACTTATTATTTTGTAGTACTTATTATTAAATTTGGAAAAATACATTATTTGTAGTATTTTTTTTAGTTTATGTAGATAGTGTTGCTGCTGTGAAGAAGCACATTCTTCTACCCCTGCAACTTCTTTTTTGATAAGAAAAAGAAATTTGCTGTCTAACCAACGCAGTTCTTACCGTGCTCACTTCCTCCTTACTTCTGATGAACTTTAAGATGCATGCTGAAGATGCAACGTGTGATTACTCATTAGAAGCAGCAATAGGTAATTCATTACTACAGAGTTTATAATAATTTCTGAGATTTTCTGAGATCATAGTGAATCAAAAAAAGAGAGCAAAAATCACCCCAAAGAACTTCCCTTTTAAGAACATTTATTTTTTTTTCTGGTAAGTATTTGGCACTAAGCAGAGTCCTACATGACATCAATGAAATAGATCTGGTTATTAATTTTCAATATTGATGGGGGAAAAAAAAAAGAGAGAGCATGGAATTCATTTGAATGAAATAAAAAAAAATACAGGTCTTAGATTGCTTTTTGAAAGGATGTAAAAATAAATGAAAGTCTATTTTAGTGACATTATCAGGAAGTGGATGTTGAATTAAAAATAATGACAACCTCAGTAAATCAGAACAACTTTCATGTCTTGTTAAATTAACAAGACTGATAAAATTATACTCTATCCTTTAAGAAAAAAATGGACAAAGCATAGAATTTTGTCAGATTAACGCATGAATACCGTAACTTCTAACACTTGCAAGAAGAGATAGTTTTGTTATGTCTCCACTGGCTTTGAAACATAGATGTAAAATGTTGACATGCATTTCAAGTGAGAAAATGCAACGTCAGATTCAGTGAAACCTCAGTGAAAAATCTCATTGCTAAGACGCAATTACCTCCAGAATTGCAGCAGACATCCCCTCTGAAATGGAGCTGTTTACTACAGCAAAGCACCTTCTCATAGCAGCATGAAGATCATCCTGTGGCATCTCCTGTAATAAATGTACTCCAGGTGCCCTAGGAATAAGATGCATACAAATAGAAGACCTCCAATGAATGTGTTAATGTGTTCTAAGTTTTCTTGCTAAAACAGAGCAGTGATAGAAGGTAGTCTGAGCAGTTCAGACATGGTTCTGGTGTTAATAACTGCTTGCATGCTTGATTAAATGAGATAGAAAAGAACATAACATGTGAAGATCTACAGGCTAATGCAAAATTCACAGAATACCCATTGTGAGAAAATTATATGTCAAATATGTTTTACCTTTTGATTTTCTCCTTCACCTCATGTGTGAGAAGTGGATCGACCTATGTAAGGAAAGAGTGGTCTGGTAAAGCTTCACCTTCCACTTCTCCATCCCCCTCCCCCATAATAATAATTGCATCAACTTACTGCAGGTCCAATAATGCCCAGGTGAACAGTGGGCTCCTTTCTGTGCCAGTCTAAAATAGAAGGGGTAGATCTTTCTATTAATCAAAACTCTTCATTTTTAATACCATTTTAAAACACAGAAAATATTCCTTTTTCTCTAAAATCAATGTAAATAGCTGCAAGAAGAATGTTTAGCTTGTTAAACGCTGTATATGATATGAATATGTATCTGATTTCATGCTCTGCCCTCAGATTACTCATCTGTATTCAAAAGATTGGCATATCTGAAAGTTTGCAGTTAGCATTTCTGCTTCATGAAATCCCTTATGATTCAAGAGTTAGTTAACTAAGCTCAGATATTAATTTTAAATCTTCTTTAGAGAGCAATGCTCTTTAGGATGCAGTGACCCTGGCCACTAAGACAAACTGATTTGAAGTTTACCTGTTTTGTAAGCAACTACAACCATTACAATTAATTACTGAGTTATTAGTAATCTGCCATTCTTCCATGACTAGAGTAGAACTCTATAACAGAATCAGCTTTTTGGCATTAATCAACCATGTCTATTGGTTGATTGATTAGACAGTGAAGGTCTAACAAAAAGTAAATGAATACCTGAAGCTACATTTTAGCTTAGAATATTTGAACTTTTTCAGATACAAGCTGAGAATATGGCAAAACATTCACCTACATGAATACAAAAAAACTTCTTAACAATAGGTTGTAAATGTTACAACAAATCTTATCATATTGCTTAGCACGCATCAGATCAGTGTAACATCCACAGGACAGTAAGATAAAGTTATTTTGAAGTAGATGAACCCTTCTTTTGTCTTCCATTAATACTATATTGTAGCAGCAAAACAGTCTTCCTAAGAAGTAAAAGCATCAAATAATGCTTTGATTTTTAACACTCTGTTATTCCCAGCAGGTTGAAAAAGACACAGTGCAGAAACAATGTGTTCAACTGATCAGTGGTTATATGAGCATTCTTAGTATAATTACATTATGAAATGTTGGCCATGAATAAAACAGCTTATAAACGTTAAATTAATGCAACTAATTCTGGGAACCAAGCAAGGTACCTACCTGAGAAGACATCTACTAAATACAGAGGGTCTTTGACTCTTCTAAGTCCGCATATCAGGAGAAATACGTGTAAATCCTCTGTATCTGCAGGAATGTCTGTAACAAAACATTTAAAAGCAATCTGAATGCAGATAAAAGAAAATTAAATCACTCCAAAGTTTCAGGAATAAGTGCATACAATGGTAACAGCAATAGCAGGGTGTGTTCTAAAGGATTCTCATTTTTGTTCCCTCTGTTTCTTGCTCTTGCACTAATCTTTAAATCAGTGCAGTGGAGAAGATAATCGTGTGTATCATTCTACAATACGAGTTCATTTCCAGGGAAAGCAAAAGGATAGGCTTTGGAGGAATTGAAAAACTGGTGATCAGATTTTTCAACATCAGAAATCAGCTTTGGCCATTATACAAATCACTGCGTTTCTCAATTTTTCTAACAATAAAAGGAGTAACTTGGCATCCATACAATAATTCAACACCTGTTTCAAGAATATTGTAAGGCTTGGGCAGGCACAGGTTGCTATAAAATCAGGTAAAGGTCAATAGTTATCTATCCCTAACTTGCCAGCAGTGCTACATATTTAACCAGAAGTTCAATTATCATAAAGCATTTATTTTAACACTGTTGTTAAGAAATACAAATAAGTCTGGAAAAAATCTCAACCTGTTGGTGTTTAGCATCAAAAAAATCTCATGAAAATATATAACAGTAACCCACCAAAAGAAAAAAAAACATTCTTGAATATCCATCCTCATGTCAGGGGCTGGGATTCATGTGAGCCTTGTATCAAAACTGTCTACTGGGGGAAAAAGACAGCAGTGCGGTGAATGCTCAACTGCTATTGGTTTTAAAATTAAAATCCAGTTCAGGGATTTTTATATGGTCTCTGTTGCAGGGTTCATTATTGAGTCAGTTCCATTTAACTTTAGCAGCTTGAGCTGTCAAGAGTGGCTGTAGCAGACATGGTAAGTAATATTTTACTGGTTATTGGACCAAGAAATAATTTGTAATTTATAATATACACAAACATTTGGACTGAAAAAGCCATTCTGGTGCAATGGCCCATTAATACTGTTTGTTTTCAAGACATGCAGCACTGGTCTCAATTCACGACAAACTCAACAAAACAAACAACTAGAACTTGTCAGCAAAACTGAGACTGCATTTTAACTATGCACATGGCACAAATATTCATTTTAAACTACGAACCCCCACCCATCAGTTAATCTGAAACAGAGTGCAGGTCAGCACAGAAGGCTGAGGCAAACAGCAGTGAGCAATCAGGTTTCCCTGTTTTCATGTAGAGATCACAGAGTTACAGCATTCTTCATCTGACAGACCTTAGCCAACATTAACCATGCTTGAAATAATGGCTTCTTATCTCTTAACATCATATTGTTTCTATTTCATAGCTTCCAGAGTTTTTATTTTATTAGATAATACTTTCAAGTGCTCTGACAATGAAAATTGCAAATACCAATTACTTTCAAATTTGTATTTTTACCTTTCAGTCCTGTGGCAGTTACTTAAAGATACTTCTCTCAGGAATCTAATGACTATCAGTTTAATTATTTGACTAGTGAAATTACTTAACATAATATCTAACAAAGGAAATAGCTCACTTATTTGAATAAACAGCCAGATTATTCTCTTCATGCAACTTCACCAAGTCCTCCTTCTCTACTGTGGAATGTTTTTTTTCTCAAATTGCAGATATTGGACACACACCCTGAGATTGGATCCTGCACGGCCTTTTAAAAGCTGTCAAAGAAGAGCTATTTGAGCAAGGATTTGCCTCAGCTATTCAATTTAGTGAAGTGAGAGTCAGCTGTAGTTTTACTTTATTGAATGCTGTAGATCTTACTCATCACCTAATTCATTTTCACAGGCAGACATTCACCAGCTCAAGTCACTTAGGAATATAAAGACATTCCTGAGAAGACTGTATTACCAGCACATCACAGCCACTGTTTAGTACTGTAAACTTTACTCATTCTCAATCTGCTTAAGATCAAGCTTAGGTAGCACCTTATTAGCTTTCTACTCATCCACTGAAAGTTATTAGATTTACATGTCAAGAAGTTGCCTGCATCAGTTTTTTCCTCCACGTGCTGTTTTCTCAAGCCATGCCAGCCCTAGTGTGAGAAAAAATACAACTATTTGTACAAGAAAGCAATCATTTAAGTATGTTTTGTCCTCATAAGAACTCTAATAAGGGAAATAAAATAACTGCCATGGCTGCCTTTACTAACTACAGCCATCAGCTGGATGAAAACAGGTATTCAAAAGAAGTTTTTTCTTGTTACTTGAGCTTAAACAAGATATTGAGTATCTGCTATCATTCTGCCTTTCCCGGATAGGCTGCTTAATCTGTAATAAGATAAACAGTCCTTTTTGACTCCCTTCTAAAATGGAAATACACCAAAATGGCACAATCAACTGCAGATATTCACTTATGAGACAGAATGAGAGAATGAATTCTATTAAAAGTATCCAGTAGAAAACATTTTGATAATGCGTGGGAGTTTATTATTTACGATTTCATTGGCTCCCGGTTTGTTCCTTATCTGAAATTGTGTATCTTTGTCACATCAACTATTTTAAGAAAAATGGTAACTTTAGTGCTAAGATATACTATAACAATTGGCATTTGGCACTTAAAAAAAAAATCTTTACTTAGATGCCAGCAAAACAGAAGATGAATACAAGCAAAAAGATAACATGAAGCTAGAATCATTTCTGAAGCATGAGTAAGGACATCACTTTTCTAAGAAAGTAAAGAATAAGTAGAGATGTTATCTAAATTGATTCTAAAGGAGCAGATTCATTTAACTCCATGCTCCTACGTACTATAAGGAAAACATGTAGAAATCATAGATGTATAGTAAAAAAAAAAAACAAAAAAAACAAACAAACTGTAAATCTTTAATCTTAAAGCTGCAGGCCTAATAATATCAAGCACTAACTTGCTGAGAGGTAAAAATGCAATTGAGAACATTGTATCTTAAGTGACATTTTAGAATCACACAATATCCTGAGCTAGAAAGGACTCCTGAGAATCATTGACTCTAACTCCTGACTCCACACAGTGCTACCTAAGAGTTTTTCACCACCTGCTCAAATACAGAAAATAAAAGTATTTTTCTTATTCAAAAGTCGTCTCCTTACTTTTATACGATGTTTTCAACACATCTGTTGGGTTCATTAGTAAAGACTTTGTGAGTTATCTCCTTCTAATCACGTGACTTCTAAGTGTTTACAGGAGTGTTTATTAGGGTTTACAGCTTCAACCACATTCCACAGGGATCAAAAGGAGCCTTTCATCAAGGTATGAGAACATCAAGCCTGCCTGTGATCTTAAGTAGCTATATCCCATCCTTGAGCTAAGTTGTTAGAGATCAGACTCCATTTTTGCATGTACTTAGGCTGTCATTTTCTGTGATCTGCCTTTCAGCAAAAGCTTGAACTTTCATTGTCTCTCTAAAGACAAGCAACTTAATTCCAGTTATAACCAGTTATGATGTATGAACATTTCCAGATTATAAGGACAGGCAAAAATATTTTGAGCCTGTAGCCTGACCCACACTGTAGCAGTTCCCTAAAAAAGCATTGAGTTACTAAATAAACTGAAATGATTGTCTTGCTGAAGTCTGTGTTGAAATTCCTACTTGCCTTGGCTTTTTGGTTTGGCTACTGTCACTTACAGTCTCTCATACACAAACACTGCAACTAGACTGCAAATTGTCTGCTAAAATCTTTTGTTGTAGATTTTACCAATAAATATTTTAACAGCAGCCACTGAAAACAGCGCAGCTAGCACACCAACACCATTCAAATCTCTCTCTCAAATCTGCTGCTGAGGCTGTGACAAAAATCCTAATTCCACAATTTCTGTGCTTTGATGGTAATACAGTTTTCTACTGATTGCTCCACATTAGGAGAATTTTAAACATTTTAAATACCTTGGAATTCCAAATCCCTAGAAGAGCAGTTCAAATGAAACTCCTAATTAGTCTGCAGTAAGTGTAAGGGTACAGCCAAAAACCTGCCTCCATGTGCAACACGAAGTGGAAATTTTAGTGTGCCACCAGCATTGGAAACAGAGACAAGACTGATGAGTTGAAACAGTCATTAAAACAAACAAACAAGCAACAAACACTGAATAATCTGATGCCAGTGTTCAAGTTATAATTCAACAAGCACAGATGCTGAGTTATATTATTGTTTGCTTTTCGTGTACTTTATGAATTATTTTGCACTTTTGTATTAGTACAAACTAGGCAAAAACTGTCTCTGATATATTAGATGATATGCACCTTAGGGGGAGCTTCCTCCTCCCCAGTCTGCTGGTTGTTCTTTTAATCAGAAGTTAGTTGGTGGTCCACTCAATGCTAGGGCTGGGCTAGCAAGAGACAAATCATTTCACTTCAGAAAACTATTAATCTTGGTGGCACTGCGTTTGTGTGCCACGATTTACTATAACAAAATAACAATGCTCAGCTTAAAATTAAATACCAGTCTCACATAATGGTACATATTTACTTATATGATAAAACAATTGAATCATGAGGATTCATTAGTAACAGAGGGAACAGTTGTACTACAAGAGATCAAACTGATGACTACTGAAATGTTTTCAGTGCTGTAAAATGCATACAAATTCTTTTGGGGAAAGATAGCTGTATTAAAAGTATTTAATTAAAAAGTATTGCCAAGGTCAGGTGATTTAAAATCAGGCCATCAGCCCTACATGCCATCACATTAGTGAAAATAGAGACAAACTCAATATCAAGACCAAATAATTAAAAATCAATACAAATTTCCCTTCTTTACAGTTCCTTACCTCAGTTGCTCTTCTTCCATTACACAGCATGGTCAGGTATTGGTGCTTTAGTCTAACTAATCTTCAAGGAGATACTGACCCATACCAGGAATAGTTTACCTTTTGGTGTAATTCAGAACTGGACAAACTTACAATCTGGAGGCAGTTTACTGATTGATGTTCTACCTGAATCTAATGACTTTTGTATCATTAAACCATTTTATTACATAATCAGTTAGCCTTCACATGCTAAAATTCTATCCAGAGTTATATCTATTTAAAATAAATATGGTAAATACAGAAAAAAGTGGGCTATACCTGCATTTTGTAGAAATCTACACCAGTCAAACGTTTCAGTGGGAGTAGTCCTGATTCCTGTGTTGAAAAGAGAATATGACATGTTTGTTTCTTGGATGGCTGCACCATGCCTCTTAAAATCTTGCTATAAGAAAACATATTCCTCTCAAGCACACCTCATACACAACAATACAGGCAATGGCAAAGAGTTTGACTTCAGTGGAGTCAGCACTTCAAACCAAGGTCCATTTCAGCAAAACATTTCCAGAGAAAAGAAGATAGATACATAAACATACAGGTACTAAATATATCAACTAAATAAATTGAATGCATTAGTAAATATTTCAAAACTCTCACCTTGATATTGGACATATATTTTCTTGCTAGCATCTGGCTTCAAAGAGAAGGAGAAGAAAAGTGATTTATAGTTCATCATAAAAGAGCTGCTCAGCCTTTACAAAAAATCTAGTATAACAATATGGTCATCACTGTGATTTTCTTTTGACAAGACAGATCATTAGAAAATAATATTTTAATAAGACTAAAAGCCAACAAAATCAGCACTTTAAATTACATTTACAACAAAAATTTACAGTATCACGGGATTCGTTTTGTAATTAACACAATTACCAGGTCAGTAGAAGCACATTTTTTTTTTAGTTTAGCTCTGTGTACTTTCTCATAACCATTAACTTGTTTATGGCACAGAAAAAGAAAAGATGTTCAATTACAGAACAGCCCTAGCTCTCAAAAACACTGGTTTTCAAAGAAAAAGTACAGCTAGTTTTAGAACCACAGACACATTTATCTGTCATAGAAGTTTAAAACACATCAGGCATGTATCTGGCCCTTCTTACCACTAACCTTTTCAAAAACTGCTGCCAAATATATATGTAAGACTTGTCTATACAAGAACATGGGCCAGTAGTAGTTACTGCAGTTAATCCCAAATAAGAATTGCACACGAAATCATTTTAAAATAAATACAGTAAAAGTGGTAATTGCAACACTTCCAACTTTTCTCCTGAAGAGTTGGTACACCAGTAATTTAACGTATTATTAAACAAACCCGTTCTTACTTCATTGACTTTCTGTAACTCCAACCAGGAATTTGTGGAATATCATTTTTTTTTTTTTTTTTAAAGAAAACAGAAATCTTCTCAGGATCTTTCAAAAAAGACAACAAAACAGAACAAAAACAACCAACCAAATGCACTCTTCCCCTCCAGCAAAAAGAAGCACGGTTTGAGTTCATTTGTAAAAACTCTGGGTTCAGACAGTTCCTACTTCTTTTAAAAGCACTGCTTGCCTTAGGAGTAAGGGAGGGAATTGCTCAACTCACTCATTCTCCAACAAATTTGCTCAATATTACCTTGCAAGTTTCAGTTTGAAATCACATTCTTTCAAGCAATTCTAATGACACTATTGCTTAGTGTACCATCCTGGAGTCCCAAAACAACCTTTGCTAGAACATCAGTCTTTGCTGACTTAGAGCTAAATGCTCTTTGCTACCATTTCACCGTGGAGAAAAGCACAGTCCCCCAACAGGCTTGTGACTCTGTGAGTCACTGAGGATTTGACTGTTGTGCCTCTTTTTAAGGTGCAAATGGGAAGAAGAGTCCCATATTGCCCCTCCAACCACCCCACTTTGGAGCAGTGGGAAATGGCTGACACACAGATGATACACTGCTGAACTCCTCAAGCTAAGAACTGCTATGCAGACTTGTTTCAGTGTGGGAAACTGGTAGCATAATGCAGGCATAGTTACATGATGGTAGAGCATTGATGCTGGATCACATCACTCTGCACATTACTTTTCCCTTTTCCTCTCCCACCTCTACTCCAACCTCAGCAGTGTGAAATCACATCTGAAGGATGATGTCAGGGTAGGAAGAAAAAAACAAAAATTAATACAGAAACAAACTACTAAAGCAACAAATTCCTGAACCAATCTGCTCAGGAAATAAGAAGCCAAAGAAGTGATGACTTTTTTTTTTTTCTTCCACTTGAAGGCATTTTGTGAGGACTTTTTAATTCAAAATTTCTACATGACTGCCCCTACAGTTCACTGCTCAGTCATGACAGTCTATTTTAGTTATTAAAGATGAACTGGAAAAAGAAAAATAGTAAAAGAAATGGACAGAAAAGGGGTCAGGAAGAAGTGAATAGTCATCAACAGGCAGCTCACAGATGGGAAGAGGACAGTTACAGGGAATCAGAGAACCCAGGGTGAATCAGCCACATCACAAAAACAACGTGAGCAAGCAGGTCCAGTAATAAATGAAGTGGGAAAAATGTAACGCTGTTTATGTTATAGTAGAAGACTAAGGATATCTTTCAAAAGGCAAATGAACTTTTGTGATCCAACAATTTAAAAAATAAAGGTGGTTTCATATGTTGTTTTATTACTTAATACTTCTTGGCCTTTTTTTTTTTTTTTTTTTTTTTTTAATCTATGAATAAGTACCATTTTAAATTAAATTGGATTTTTCAATCCAAAAAAAGCCTTGCTAATGATGGAGACAGCACTGCAAGTTGAAGGACAATTAATTTTTAGGACAAGCTAGGAGTTAAGATGCAACGAAAGAAAAAGTGGAAAGAAGGTAGATGGGGCAGGGGGCAGATTAAGCCAGCCTTGCCTCTATAGCTGACGTACAGCATGATCCTGCTTAGACTTTGGGGCTTAAAGATATGTTTTTTACTTCTCTAAAACCGTTACATTTCAAAAATAATCTGAAATTAATTTGGTCTCACGCTCTACAAGACCCTTAATGACTATGCAGTAACTAAATATATTCCTGCCAAGGCTGGGATCATCAAGAAGAAAAGAGTAGAAACACAGAGAACAGATATATTCACATGTTATAGATCAATTTTATGTTATGCTCTTTATTTTAGATGGTAGTAGGGAGAGTAGAAAAATGAAATTGAATACCAATAAAACTGGCTTAGGTAATTCTTAGGTACCAATTTTACACTATTGACATAAAACACTGACCATAAGCACAAGATATTTGAAAGTATTTCACGCTTACTTAGAATACAGATTATTACAGAAGCTATATTATGCAATTCATAATTAAGGATAATTTATCCAATGTAATAGAAAAGAAGCTGATGGAAGATATAGGCCTTGAGCACAGTGCTATTCCTTATATGTTTGTAATGTGAATTATTGGCTAATTAATAAAGCACACATTATAATAATATAATGTATAATGTATATCACGTTAGGGTGAATTAACATGTAAAGAGTGGTAATATTCTGTGAGCTGTGTTATGGAAAGCTGTATTTATGCTTTTCAGCGTTTGAAAGAAAATGTATGACCCTTGCTCTCACCCTTTATGTGAAGATACAGATATGAGGATCTTCCAAGTCCAACTCCTGACTCCATACAAGGCAACCTAAGAGTTTCTCATCACCGGCTCAACTATAGGAAATAAAAATATATTTCTTACTGATATTTCACAAGATAAGGTGGGTTAACAGGGTGGTCCTGACCTGCTCTTTTTATCCCAGTTGCCCCTTATTGGTGGAAAACTAATACACATACCAAAAAAAAAACCAACACCAACATCTGGGCTAACAAGGCAGTCACAGGTCACCAGTGCTGCTTTGTGCTCCCCAAAAGCACTCCTTGTACTAAGATGTCTGACAGCTCCTTATTGCCTTACCCTGATCTTCGGAAACCAGCACTGCCTACTTCCAGGATCTGTCTCTATTTCCTCCACTGGCAGTCTGCCATCAACTCACCTACATGAAGGCGATAGGGTTGACCCAACCTATTTTCCAACAGCAGCATCAGATACTACAAATAATTGCACTGAATGAATGAGCTAGAATTGCAATCCAGCAGGTATAATGGTACCTACTAAATAAAAAGTACTCCGAAATTCTGAGACTGTGGTCATGGTGTATGGGCAAATAATGAATGCATAGAAACAAACTAATGGATGAAGAGAATCCTAATTGGTGTTAGCCCACATCTTTTTAACATGTATAACCACTAGGTTTCAGTTGTTACAAAGAAGTTATTTTCAAAAAACAAGAAGAAAATGAATGGGCTGCTCCAAAAGTAACGCCTCTTATTTTATTATGTTAGCCCACAACGTCAGAGGCGGATGCTGATGGTATGGCAACAGAGGCTGAACCCTCCCACCAATATTCCACTATGGTTTGTTGCCATGTGACAGATGGCAGCAGAGAGGAAGTTTGAAAGAATGGTGTCTGACATGGAAATCCATATGAAGCAAAGGCATATAACTGAGCCCTTCACATAGAAGAAGTTGCACCCACTGACATTCACTGATAATTGCTGAACATTTATGGAGACCAAACAGTGGATGTGAGCACAGTGAGGCAGTGGGTGGTGCTTTTCAGCAGCTGGTGACAGTGACATGAAAGACAAGCCACAACCCAGATGACCATGCAGATTGTTATGAGTGTTTATCGTTGGCAAACATGCACAGCTAATGGTGGTGTGACTATCTTAAAAAAAAAAAAAAACAACAGTGTTTTGTAGCTGAGAATTTGCTCTATCAAATAGTGTTATTGTGCTCTTTGTACCTGTTGCAGTTTCCATGGAAATGAGCAGGAAGCTTTGCTTTCAGAGTGACCTATGCATTTAAAATTACCTAATTATCATACTATCTCAAAGGCTAAATGAAAGACTAGATGAGGGGAATGAATAGATGAGGGACACAGGGAGGTGTCCCTGCCAATAGCAGGTGGCTGAAACTAGATGATCTTAAAGGTCCCTTCCAACCCAAGCCATTCTATGATTCTATGAAATTAAAATATTAATTTTATTAAAAATTATGTGGTTTTTTTTCCATTTACACTTTATTCTCCTTACAACTTAAATTTCTGCCCTTTTGGTCTTATATTTCAAGAACAAAAAAAACCCCAAAGGATTAAGAACCTCAATCACATCAGTCAAATTAGCTAAGTCCTGGAGAAATCACTTGAGTTTTTCCTGCTAAAGACTGAGCTCACACTTCTACTGCATACACAGCACATTATCAAAGCAAGCATGCTCACCTCACAAAGTGCAAGAGGCCACTGCACTCATCTTGTATAGCACTTAAACATTATTTAAACAACCCATGGAATGAATTAAACTATCCAGTTGCAAAGAGCTGAGATTAATATTTGCTGAGAGACTGAAAAATTAACACTAAGAGCTCATTGAACTCAACAGCAAAGCCATCAGTTACCTTCAGCAGTGGAAGATTTGGATTTAGCATATTTAAGTCACAATCTTGCAGGGAGTTTCTGGGCCCTTGGAAAATACGATTGATACCAATAATCATATATGGAAACAGATGAGTTTTTCCATAACTCCCTACCAATCCAGGATGCATTACAATTAATATGAAGTACATTACACATTTACTAGATAAGGGAATTTTTGTTAAACACCTTTTCTAATAAAATAGCATGGCAGCTCAAATATGAGGTTATCAACAAAACTGTATTTGAAAGGTCTTTTTATTTTTCTACGTGTACTGATGATTCTCTCCATGAACACAATACCTACCTTTAAATTAAATTCACCATAAGAAAATTTACTCCACACAGATAATATGTTTGCTACTTGAAAAACATTCTGTAGAATATCCTTTTTTTTCTGCCAAACTGAAATTTGATAGTTAGCTAACTTATCAGAGGAATTTCATTTTGCATTATTACTGCCAGTACTTTGCTGGCAAAATCATCTTTCAAATACACTGCCAAATGTGTTTGAATGCTATAATGTTGGATGAAAATAATTCTATTCAGTATTTTTCCATATTTCAGTTAGCTGTGTTTATTCAGATTTCAGAAGTAGAGATGACTTTTTCAAAGTGCTTTAGGAAACGCGCTGCTCACGTGCCCTACATCCCTCAAGGCCTGGTCAATCATGCTGTATTATTACACACCACTGGGCTTAGCAGAACTTCAGTTTTAAATTTGCAGTTCACCTGCAGAGGTTCATTCTATTTCCAGTGCTGATAAATGTTCTCACATTATTCTTCCAAATTCTTACTGTAAGCTTAGTGCAATTTTGTCAACATAACAAAGTTTATCAAATGAGTCAAAAAGAAACAATATGTGCACATAGTATCAGGAGGAATCCAATAATAGCAATAATGATTAATTTCAACTGTTACAGAGAAGCACTTTCCCTTTTCAAATACTGAACAGCATTTAAATGCCAGATCTATTTGATCTGTCAAAGCCCATAAATATGAAAGGCTTTCTCTATAAAGAAAAAAAGAACAACAAACAGCATTAGAGAATATGAAGATGATTACAATTCTCTAGCAATTTTTAGCAGACATTTTAGGAGACTGAGTGGTTACTAATACGATAACCATCACCATCATCACATGAACATACCCACTCTGCTGCTGCCAGTTCCTTCATTTTCGTCGTGAAAGCCACGGCAAACCTAGTGAAATGGACAAAAATATATATATAAGAAGAGCGGAAGCTGATAAAAAGAATGATAGATGGACAGACAGAAAGCAGGCTTTCTGTTTTTACTTAACTAGAAAACATTGGTAAAACAAATGGTCTTTCTTCAGGCTTTAAGTGGATCTACAACTTAGAGCTCTCATGGAGTTTAAGTGATGATTTTCTTAAAATAGGAGAAAAATAATGGGAACATCCTGTGGTTTATCTAGATTAATACACACAGCTGCAATCTGCACAATGCAATCTGCATAACTAAAGTATGAATAAGCAAACAAGGGTGTACCTGAATAACTTCATGGGTAGGATTTTTACACCTGGGAGGGAGAAGAAAACTGCTCCCAAGCCTACTTTCACATTTCCCTTATGTCTGCTCACCACAGCTCATCCTGACTTTTAGAGATGTGCCTTTGAGAAACATTCAGGACACTGCCATCCCACACAATAGAAGAGATATTTCAGAGACCATTTAAAAGCAGCATTGATATCTACAGTCCTTCTTTTTAGGCATCTCATTACAGAGAGATTTCAACCACAGAAGTCTGATATCTAAACATACCAAAGAAACAAGTTATTCTTACTGGGAGCTTGATGTAATACCCAGAAGTCATATGAGATACTTTTATGGAGTCAGATTTAATAAAGAACCTTTGTTCATCCTGAACTTTAAGGCAACTTTTAAGATGTGATTAAATACAAACACATGCTTTGACTGTTTTTAAATGAAACTTCAGTATTAAGTGGAACCACAGATGGTTCATTCCTGAAGACTATCAGTCCTGTAGAATACATAGGTTTGAATGTCTCTTTCATATAAGACATAATTTGTCTCTTTGGCTAAATTCTTTCTTTTTTTCATCTCTTTTAAAAGCATTGAATGTAACCATAAGTTATCAAATAAAAAACTTAAGACTCATTTTCTATTTCATGGTATTAATGTAACATTTCCGTTCTGAGATATCTCTATAGTATCACAAATGCAAGAGGTGAAGCACACTGCTAAGTCACAGCCAAAACAGTGCTTTTCCACTGGAGATGATATGTTACAATTCGAGGGCACTCATTAGAAGTCACATAAATGCTGAGTTATAGCTCCTATTCTGTTTGTTGTGAGCAGACTTACTCCCATACATTTGTTTTGTAGTATCTGCTTTATGGTTTTACAATGCATTCTACGTATATAACACGACAGCTCTACGGTTATTGAGGCCTTTGCAAATGCTTGTTTTCTCAAGATGCATCTGTTTCCTTTCTAGTTTTTGCAATTATACTTTCAATACATCATATTAACAAGCAGAAAAAACTTTTGCTCCCAAGTCTACAAAATACTATTCAATAGATTTAAATACCCTAAAGGAGTACAACCACCATTTAGAGGAATTTGATTAAAAACGAAACACTCATTATAAAGCTAGAGAGTGCTCAATACTTTGTTTTATGGAACGTGGTGGTATATTGTACTGGACAAGTAATCTACAATTCATAGTGCGTTTTGCTTAGAACCCTGCAATCAATAAAGAAAAAAATCAATTTTTCTTTTAATAACTATGCAATGAATAATGCCAGTGATAATACTGGGGAAGAGATCCATTCAGTATAACTTCTAGAAAACTGAATTACTTTTACTGCACCAGAGTTATGAATTGCATAGAGCATGCACTAATGCATTTTGAAACATCAGAGGAAATCCAAAACTACACCTCAAGTACCTAAATTAATTACCATTAAAAAACAAACAAACAAAAAAAACCACACAAAAAGTGATTTAGTATGGTTTTGTATAAACTACATGAGCTGTATTGGTGACAGATCACACCTAAAACACAGAACTGGATCAGAATGCACACTCATACATTCTCTTTTGAGATAATTTTCCAATTTCCAGCGCTGAAATCTAATGTTCTCATTGTAACCGACACATCAAATGACTTTCTTCTCTTCCTTAAGAACTGTTAAAAGAATACTTTTTTATTATAGGACAACAGAAAAGCATAAACACTTTGTTTTAAATGAGGCTGTAAGGTGATTTTCAACTGCAGTCCCATTAAGACATAAGAACGTGCCCTAATGATTTTTCAATGAGAGTCATTAAGCGCTGCCTTGGAAATCTGTTTACCTACCACATTTTTCAAGTCACTGTAGACAGAACAGCATATCGATGCCAGAGGTAAGTTAGCTAATAGTAGCAAGAACATACTGTGGTATTAGCAAAGATAAAACCACAAGATATAAGCCTGCTGCAGACATTGCACACATTTCCTCATTGCTAACATGAACTAAAATCCATACCTCCATATCTGAACCAACGTAGTTATCTTTATGAGAAGCTGTGATGAATGGAGATGATCTCCTGAGCAGCCTTTGTTCAGCAACGTATTTAAGCTCTGCTAGAGAAGGTATGCAAAGAGCACCAAGGATGAGATGAGACCTAGATGCTTCTATTTATCACACCTGAGTGCACACTGAGGGCCCCCTTCCCTTAGCAGAGCTCAGAAAGCCTCTGCAGGGTACTGAAGTCAGCAGAAGCTCAGACACAACACACAGCTGAGCAACCTGCTGTAGCAGATTAGCGCTACCAAAATAACATCTTTGTTGACTTTTCATATTAAAGCAGTAGAAAACTAACCTAGATCAAAAGATCTCAATTTTACAGCAGTTAGTGAGTTAGAGCTGCTCTGAAAGCAGTCCTGGCACACAGAAGCCTGGGACACAGCTACAGGAAAGAACTGGTGGAGAAGGACAGGAATGCAGGTAAAGTCATCCTGTCATCAGTAAGCAATTAGTTGGACTGCACATGAAGAGACAACAGTGTGTGTCTTGATAAGACTTAGGCCATCTATTTAATTTTTACCCTATTTGAAACGTTACATCCATTTTACTTTGGATTCAAACAAGAGAAAGGACTATTGCCTCACCACAGCGATGATCAAATACAGTCAGAATCAACTGACTTTTGGACCAAGCAGAAGTTTTTTTCAGAGGGATGTTGAAATAATGAGAAATGTTGTAAAATCCCCTCTGGTTTTATATTGTTTTCACTGATTTCTGACCAGTTCTTAACCACGTTTGATGACTCCACTGACATAACATTGGAATTTCTCCAGACTTTAAAACCCTCTGAAAATACTCACTTCTCAATTCACCAAAAAAGCAGAGAGAAGTTGTGTAAAGATTTTTTTTTCCCGTCTTTGCTTCTTTCTTTATGCATTGAGAAAAAGGATCACATTAGCAGAAAAAAAGAACAAAAGCTCTCTATACTTCAGTCAGCTGCGCACGCTGTCAGCACATCAAGTGCAAGGCCTCTGAAAGCAAGTTTGACTCTGGGATGCAACCAGATAAACACCAGTTATTTTTAGTTGTCTGCTTCTCAAACCGAGGAGCATTTTTATCTGTATGCATAGATGGAATTAAGCTCTGAAAATATAAAATGTCTAAAATAGTTTTAGTAAGAATTTATAATGTGATTGCATACAGCATTTGTACCCAAAACAAACAGATTAAATAAACCACAGTCAAGCTTCTACAATCCACGGTTACACTGAACATCAAAGACTGTCTTTATAATGCCTACCTATGAAGTAGATATGCTGCCAAGTCACAAGTTAAGTATTCTTGCTATTATTCTTCTCATTTTTACCTGCCTTAGAATTTTATACCCTCATCACATGCATAGTTATACTATTCTAGAAAACAGTTATGATTCAGTAGACAGAGCACAGGACTGGTGCACAAAAGCACAAAATTCATTACTTTTAATGGCATTTGAGTCATTTTGGAGAGTTGCAGTCAAAGATGCCAAGCTTTACCACTACTTCTGCCAACTCTTATGTGGACAAATACAACTAATGATTGTAACAGAGGAAACATAAAAAGAAAACAGTGCATACAGACTACATTTTTATGAAGAAACTGTATTATAAAATCGTAAGAACTAGATTGAGCTCACAGTGATATCAAGTTGCTTAACCTTTGTCCATTGGCTTACATATTTCCCAGCAACTCCAAGTATTTATGGAACAATTCCTACAAAATCTGCCTTTAAAATATGTAATTTCCTGTCGCAAACCTTCCACACAGATTTTACCTGGCTTCTCTTAGCACTGCTCCCATTACCCGATGTTTCTCTTCACTTCTGATGTCTTCATTTATATCTGTTCCTCCAAAGATGATTCCAAAAGGAATTCTGCTACCTGCAAAACAATGACCAAGGTGAGAAGAGGGCATTAAGAGTGAAAAAGGTACATTGACAAAACCATATCACATATATAAGCAAATGGCTTTGAAATCAAATGTGCACAAACTTATTTTTGGTACTGACAAGAAACATACAATAACAGCATGTCAGCCTGTTTTGTAGCTATGAGACTTTCTTTGGCTTTGTCCATATTTAATAAAACAATCAATTACTTTCTACATTTGGCAGCCCACCAAACAGCATGTATATTTCAAATGGTATTCACATGTTCATAAGATACAGTACCTCAAAGCTGGGTTTGTTCTAAGTATCTAGCCTCAGCCAATCAACCACTGCCCTCTCAAGCATTCCAGTATAATGGTTTGGGTGGCCAACGTTACAGCTGCTAAATTTGTACGTGGAGCCATACCACCAGAAAAAGTCTCCCAGTTAAATAAGGCAGCATATGTGAAACTTCACCAAAACCACCATTTTGCTTAATTCCACCCGAAAAGATGGAACTGTTTATAAGTGGTTGCTCCAACACCTTTTGTGATGACCCAAATTCTGGAAGGTGCTGTAGGATGCCCAGAGCTCAGAACAGCAAGAGCAGAAGGATGCATGGTGACTGTGCTTTAAAGCATGAGTAAAAGCAGGGATGACCCAGCAGGGTGTGCACTGCGGTAAAAGCCTAGTTTTGATACATGGCATCACAGTAAATTAATGTTTGATACAAGCTATGACCACATGATAGCGTAGCACTTCTCTGCTAACAGCAGTAAGCCTTACACAGACGAGGCCAAAGACGGTGAAAATACAAAAGCCAATAGTAATTTAAGATTCCTTTCTAATAGATTTGCTTTCCTGGTGTCTGGTTCTTTTTAGTGACTGACAGGTTACCAGAAATGTTCTCTTCTTAAACTCATCAAGGCTGTAGTCAATAGTGTTTACTGTTGACTGTTTCAGCACTGAAAACAATTAAGTGGTCAGTTTCCACCACATTAAGCAAACAGGTAACAACCTGAGGGTGGCTAATTACTACATGCATAACATGGTTTTAAATTCTAAACAAATGGCACTGCAGCAAGAGAAGCCCTAATACATAAGGCAGCAGAGATCATCACACAGCATTATTTTTGTATTTTATTCTTGGATCCCTACTGAAATCAGAGCTCCATTATAACAAAAGATACACAAGCACACTAGACATAATAATGCAGGCTTTCCAAAAGCTCACCAGCACAAATTGCCTGGGGACTGCTAAGTCTGAAACCAAGAACCGTGCAACTTACACTGAGATCTGATGAAACTATCAAATGATGTACCTTTGTCCAAGTGAATAGATTTGGACAATAGGAATGTGATCTCAAAAATGGATACACACTTGCAATTTCAGTAGGTGACAGCGTCTGTAATTTTGAAGCTGGTGCTTCAAGTGTATCATTAATGACAGACTAAAATTTTGTTCTACGTGGCCAGTTACTACAGAACATCTTATTATTTGTCAGATAACATCCTGCCTCCTAGAGCTTAGCTGGCATAAACAACAACTGCAAATTATTTCATGTCCCCAAAAAACTCCAACTCATTTTTCAACAGAAAAATCAGATTAGCCTCTCTGCTTTTTTCAGTTTGACCTGAGCTACACTTAGCCAAGCTGCTGTCCTCTGCAAAAGCACCTTTGCTTAAACTATCTTAATGCTAATACGATGCTCTTATCTTAATGTAGTTTAAGTACTTAATTGTAAAATGCATTATGTGCTTTAAAAGTGCATTTATTTAGACCTCCCACAGAGAAAGACTTTCAGTGTTTCTGAATACTTGTTGAAGTGGATAAAGAGAATAACTAAGTTATGTGTGGGTTTTTGCATGTATTGCCTTTTGTAACAGTTTGCATTTATTTTCTTCTTTTTCAGTACATTTTAGGGGGTACTTTTAATGCAAAAGAGGAAGAGAATTACCTTGCAGATGTCTGCCTCCTTTATAAAGATGAATGGCCAGGGCTGCATCAAATTGATCTGCAGAGGTTAGATTCGCTATTTCAGTCAGACTTTCACACCTGGAAGCATCTTTGAGAATGCAGATGTGACCTGCATCGTGCAGATGACTCCTCCATTATAAGAACAGATAGAGCAAGAGAAAAAAAAAAAGAATAAAATGAATGTTGCAGGCATTCAATTACATAATGTTTTCCCTTAGTTTTTGTTCCTATATTAGCTGTGTTTGTTATTATTTTGTTCAGGTGACCACCAAGCTAAAGCAACGGGTTTTCGTGGAAAAGATCTTCACCACTGTGCACACAGCCATGCACTGTAGCCCCACACCTACTTTAAGGCCCAAAGCTATCAATGCTTGGGGAATCAGTGGAAGTGAACTCTGACCAGCACCTCTCCTGTGTCATTATCTGCTCAATATGCTAAAAAGATTCCATTTGAATAGAGAGTAAAAGCCTTGGTCTTGAATAACCTCAGACCCTCATTCTGGAGAAATGTCCCAACAAGTATGTCCAGCTAAATAATGCTGTTAAGAATACCTGTTCCTGTTTGCAGGAACAAAAAAAATGAAGGCATAAATAAAACTGGAGAGTTAAAACTGTTTTCCTTCTCTGTTTGACTGTGGGCTTGTCTCCTGCACTGGTTTACCCCATTTGTAAAACAGTCACAGGATAATTGAAGTCAAAAAAAAAAAAAAAAGACACCAAAGTAATTACACGGAAACTTTCACAGTCTTTAGAAAAAAGTCTCAATTGTTACAAAAATTCTCACACACAAACCACCTATCTTGGTGCCAGCTTACCCATTCATCTTCATTTACAGCAGTTCCTCCTATTAAAAAATTGATTCAAATACTGCTGATGGATTGCAGGGAGCTCTGCTTTCAGCATTTCCACGAGCTTTGTCTCAGACTTTCCTTTTATACACTCGCCTCATAATTCCTCCTACAGAAACCAGATCCACTTATCAGTTTCCAATGGCATCAGCCAAAAAACAGGAGTGAATCCATGTTTTGATAGGAACTGGCACACTGCATCTGCTGACATGGAGATAACATCGCTTCAAACAACTAACGTTTATGTTTTCAGTATTACTAAGTACCACAAGGATGTTTGTTGTGCATTACATGTAGCTCCAGCTGATTTTTTCCTCACAGAATATTAATTGTTCTGGCATTAAAATCTTGCTAACTCAATAGCTTCTTGGATAATGTTGGCTGTTTCCTTTCTTGATCATTTCATATCCTCCCAAGGAACATCATTTTCTGTCCCGCAGAAGTTAGTCATTACAGCACAAATCAGTGCTATAAATGCTGTAAAATATCGTGAGGTCTCAAAAGGAATGCATTAGCACCATATCACACAGAGCTCCATCAGCACAACATATGGTACTGTATTTCTTCCTTATCCTAAAAAGAAACTCATTTTGCTTTTAATTTCACCGTTTAAAAGAGACCAAGGAATTGCAACAAGCACTAATAACAAAAAGCAACCAGACCAAAGCTCTTCATTTGCACTCTCAAGCAATTATTTATTTCCAATGCCCCGTGAACTTGCACCAAGCACCTGCTTGCCATCTGAAAGAGGCTCTCTATTTGTATCTCAATAAAAACGCCCAAACCTCACAGCTGTGGAAGGAAAATCTCTGGGGCAAGTAGCTGGGATGCTGGTGCATGCAATCCCAAAATTCACAGCTGCTCATTAAATAGTGTAAAAGTGCTTTCCCCCCATCAGTGTTCCAATTACCACAAATCACTATCATGTGCAGGTACATCTGTGTATTACAGTTAATTTGAGAATAACTCTCTAGGGACACCAGGAATCAAGAAACTTTGCTATGAATTGTGATCTAAAACTCTTTTTTTTTTTTTTGTCACCTACCAGGAACGAGACTTTCCTCCACAGCTCCACCCTGCACAACTGAATGACAGACAGCTGCTTGTGCTGTGAGCAGAGGGGGACTCCCTCGTGTGCTCCAAGGCTCAGAAATTGTGGATTGTCTCTATTGCTTTTTGGTTTTTTTTTCCACACAAAATGACTCAGGAGTACGTAAGAAATTTGCACGCGGCTTAAGAAGGAAAAATTATGTAATCATCCCCAGAATAATTTGAATTCCCAGACGTGAAGAGACCTTCATCCCATAAATGTACCACCGAGTTCAATATGATTAGTCATAAGCTCCAAATTATGCATATATGGAAACGTATGCGTACAGCAGCAGAGTTATGGGGTGGTGTTTGAGTACTGAAATTTACAGTGCTATTTTTCTATTTTTTTAGATGACTTTTCATCTCTATAAGCAAAAAAATTAAAAAATAAAAAAGCAGACTGTGATTTTCACACACATTCTGTTATCAAGGAACACGATAAGAAGGTGCTGCAAAGATATTGCAAGAAATTTTTTTGGGAGGCTGGTCTGTCTATGAAGTCACAGATGTCCCTGAACCAAGCCAAGACATAAGAGGATCACCACCCCTATCTTTTCTCCTCCTACAATCACAGAATGGCCAGGGTTGGAAGGGACCTGAAGGATCATGAATCTCCAACCCCCCTGCCACATGCAGGGCCACCAACCTCCTCATTTAATGCTAGACCAGGCTGCCTATTCACATTATTTCACCATCTCAAAAACAAATAATGTCTACGTGAAAAATAAAAATGAACTCCTCGTCTCTGTGAATCTAAAGCAAGACTGAAAATGTCAAATTTCAAGGCTATGCTTTCCCTCTATCACAATTCTGAATGCAGCAATAGATTTCCAATCACCTTAACTCCCAGTAAGCACTGCGTGGATCCAGACTTCGCCCTGCTTTGTCAAACCTTCCTCCTGTACACAGACACCAACAGCCCTGCGTGGGGAGGATATTTCTAAATAGGAGTTTGGCTGCCAGAATCTGACCTTGGGTGTTTTGCTAGAAAGTAACCCATCTGGGAACGTCTCAGACATACAGTAAGCTTGGAAGATAATTTCTTAGAGCAGGTTGTAATAGTCACAGCTTACCCTGTGATATTTATTTACATCTAAACACCACTTAAACATTTCCCAGCCTCACCAATTTTTGTATTAAGAGAAGTCACCTGGATTTTATTCATTTATTTTCTTACTCTCCTTGGAAATCAAGAGACATATAACTGACACATACATGTGTCAGCGCTCTGGATCTATACAGTGTGCAGAGGGATATTGCTAAAAGTTGCCATGTCGATCTGACACATTTTTTACTTTGTTAAAAGCTTCTGGAGAAAGAGTTTTCTCTAACACACCTACAAAATATCAGATGATGCTTTACAATCTCATTTTTTCTTTCCTACATTATTGATCACTATTTCTCACTTCTTACCCTGGCTCAGAAAGCCTCCTAACCCTGCCTTGTAACTTTGGTTCAGGGTCTCAGAAACTGTTCTGCAGCTCCAAACACAGCACGGCTGGAGCTAAGGTACAGACAAGTTAGAAGCAAGCTTGCTCATAAGATACTGCAGTTTTCAAACCTGTTTTCTTTTCTTCCATCTCCTTCTCAGGAACATTTATGTTCTAATTTTCTGATACTTGAATGGAATTACTCAAAACACAAAATAGGGATCATCCAAAAATATTAATTACCACTTTCCCTAGGCTGCCTACTCTGTAAAGCAGCTACGCATGAACTACTGTTAAATCTATACAGCATGATCCAAAACTTATTAAGTCAGCAGAGAGACTTTCTGCAACTTGGCTACAGTCAAATACTCACAATTGCCACTGAAACTGTTCAAATTACAAGACTTGAAACCCCACTTGGTCTTTTCAGTTTCCTTTGTAAATTGTACTCTTTTGTTGTTGTTGTACTGTTTGTTTTTTTTTTTTGTTTTTTGTTTTTAATGCTGTTAAAGTAAAATATTCTTCATTTTACTTCTCACTCAAGCTTATCCTTTAAACAATGCAGACAATTTATGTTGGCTGGAAGGAAGCGTGAATAAAATTCACTGTGAGTAAGAACAGAAATAAAAATGGGACTGATACTGCTTCAGCCCTGAAGTCCTCTGGAAGGCCAAAATAACTCTGCAGGGTTTAATCCTGCCTTATAAATGGGTCCAGCTACAGGAAACATTCATGGACATAGTGCTGCTAGGGCAGAAGAACAGCAGCCCAACCAATGGCTTTTGCTTTGCCTTTTATTCTCTACTCATTGCTCAGATTTTTCAAAGTGATTAAAAATTATGCAGACCAATACAAATAAAGCTCACAGCACCTCTATCATAACACTTGTTTTAGTGAACTGACTTCTGGCCAAATTAGATTCCGGTATCTTTGTCACCAGCTACTTTAAACTCAGGAAATGAATATATTATTTATGAAAATAGCTGTAATAACATAAACATAGTATCCCCAGTGATATTAAGCCATAAAATTAATCTATGCTGGCAAGTGTCCAACCCGGAGGCAACATCATTGTTTCATGTATACTCAACTGAAAGTTGGGCACAGCTCAATATGAAAGAGGAAAAAAAAGGAAGATTGAACAAATAAATTCAGAAGCATGCATGCAGACACAACCAAAGCTAAATATTAATCTGAATGTACATTCTCTGCAGCGTACACGTTAATACACAAAGGTTACCCATATGAACCTGACTTCAAATATGGCAAATCAGAGAGAGAAGCAACACGCCCAAGCATTTAGCCATACATGTTGATATTTTTAAAGTCACAAGGCACAAAGTCTTAATAAAACCCATGATAAGTAAAAGTATCTGTGTAAGATGGTTCTACTGGTTTAGATGTTGTACTAAATATTGGTGGACTGAATGACCTCAGAGGTCTTTTCCAATCTTTGTGACTCTATGATTCTGCTGGTAGCTGTCACTTAGCAGCCTTTTAGTCAGGAAGATTTAATTGATAGCTGGTACTCCTTACTCCTTTTCCCAATTAGATTTCTTTTCTTAAATGGGCTCCTTTCTATTAGTACTATAAACAAAATTTATGTCAAGTGATAAGATATCAACTGAACATGACATAAGCTACTGATTCTCAAAGACTACTTCTGTTAGAAATCTTTAATCTATCTTCATTTTGAAAATGAATTAAATTAGCCTTTCCTTCACAACTTAACTTTCTGCCTGAAGGTCGATGAGAAAGCAGCATCCATTTTGTGCAAGGCTGTGAGCAGTAGGATGCTAAAGCAAGTTGGGGTACTCTGCACAGATACTGCAGATGTGCTTACACAGTGCAATCATTTGCAGCTAACATGGTAATATGTTAAACCATCTGCCAGCTGAGCTGTTCTATCTCAGCAAACCTACACTTTCTTGCACGTTAGCTCAGGCCATACAGGTGTCACACGCAGCTGGAGATGACTAACCAAAATCACTGATTACTGCCACTCCGACAAAGGCACCTTACTAAGTCGCTGTGCCTTGGTGCAACATACTGATGTGGTCATAATTAATCTCAGTTTATTGAGAAGGAAATTTGGAATAACATGTGGACGTTTGTTTGACTTGTTTACTTATGCTCAGTTTAACTAGCAATAAGGCAGACCCAGCTTTCCACTGGCTTGCCTCTGAACTGCTCCACAGTCTAAATGCGAAGTGGAAGGTGAAAGTAAACGAATACGTGATTTGTAAAGATAGAAGAAATAACCTTAAGGAGGAAGAATAAGCATAGACTTCCCAAGAATAACCAGCTTTGTTTTATCCGGTGAGAGGAAAAGATAAGACTAAAGTGAATCATTGAATCACTGAGGTAGGAAAAGACGCTCTGCTCACCCAGCCCAGCCATGCCCATTGACACGTCCATCAGTGCCACGTCTGGTTATGGACCACCTCCAGGGACAGGGACCCCAGCACCTCCCTGTGCAGCTCATACCAGTGCTGACTGCTCTTTCTAAGAATTTATGCCTAATGTCTAACCTGATGAAGAACGTCGAATTATTAGTGCATTTTAGGCCCTTAGAGGAGCGAGGTGCTGCACTAGGATGGCTGCGTGGGCTCTTCTCTTGTTTCAGGCTCTGCAGCTGCTGCTGCACCTCACACTGACCTTGGTGGGCGCTTCCAAACTAGCAACCCTTGGGAAACCCACCACCACTGACCGAACAGCGGCAGAACGCTCCAGCACTGAGATAACGAGAGCGAGCTCGGGTCACCCCTACAGCGTGACCTGCCCCGTGCTGAACGCAGCCTTATTTCTTTATTCATTTACCTGTTCGGCGGGGGGCTCTCCCCTCAGCTCTCTCGTGCTGCGAAACAACAGCCAGCCCTCACGGCGCCCGCAGCTCGGCGGGGCCGCAGCCATCAGCGGGGCTGAGGTGAGCCACGCCGCCGCCGTGCGCCGCAGCGGGGAGCGAATGGCGGCCGGCTCGCTCCTGCGAACGGGGACCGCGATGCGGCGGAGGGGACCCGAACTCCTCCCTCGCGCCGAGCTGCGTGCACTTACCGTATCCTGGCCGCCGTGGTCGCGTTGCCGGTGTGCGTTCGGAGGCACGCCAGCAGGAGCAGCCTCATAGCGGTATTTTCTTCCTCCCGCCGCGGCGAGGGGCCGCGCCGAGGTCGATGTCTGCCCGCAAGCCTCCTCACCTGCCGCCGGCACGGGAGCGGCCTCGCGGAACCCACGCGGCGCTGCGGGCGCACACCTGCATCGGCCCCGCCCGGCGCGGAGCCGGCCGAGCTGCCCCAATAGCAGCGGGATCTGCGCGCGGTGGTGTCGGAGCCGCTCTGCCTGCAGGGCCCCCCGAGGTCAGAGTGCACGCTGATTATCGGGAAGGGCAAAAGCCAAGGAGAACCACAGCCTCGGCTACAGCAGGCAGTCCAACCAGCCTGGGCATGAACGCCTAGCAGGGACAGAGCATCCACAGCATCACCACTTTCTGAATGAAGAATTTCTCCCTTAAACCCACGGTTTTTAATTTAAAATTTACCCCTTGTCTTGTCACTACGCACCCCAACAGAATCTCTCCCCTTCTTTCCTGTGGGTGTCCTTTAAACCCTGGAAGGTGGCTGTAAGGTCTTCCCCAGTGCCTTCTCCTGCTTAAATAACCCCAACTTTTCTTCAGAGAAGCACTCCAGCCCTCAAATCATCTTTGCCTCCTGGGATGATTTGTGCTGGAAGGAACCTCAAAGACTGCCCTGTTTCAGCTGCTCAGCTGGGCACTAAATCAGACTCCAATCAACCTGGCCTCAAATACCTTCAGGAAAGGGGCAAAGAAAGAGCTCAGGACCAAGAAAACCACATCCAAAGCAAGCACTCAAGACAACCTCAGTAACAAGAAACAAAGCAAGCAGCCAGGTGGGGCAGCAGGCAGCAACACTGTGGGGTCCTCTTTGGAGACTGATAAAGGCCCAGATACCCATGGCTTCAGACTGAATTCTGTATTTTGTAAATACACTGACAGCACATACAGGGTGTTTGTCACTGTGAGGTAGGTAGAAAGAAGGCTTGAACTAAGAGGAAGCTCACTTTTTTGCTTGCATGTTTATAACCTGGACTGTTTCCCTGATGTAATTTACCACAGGGCCACACTGATGCATGTTACCCCAAGGCTGTAGGAGATAGAGAAAAACAATCTGCAAACCGCAGTGCCTGTTTATTTTGCTTTCAACTACTCTTCAAGTCTCCCTGGCAGGTAAGGAGAGAAAAATACACCACTTACAGAGAAAGGTTCCTAAGCTTCCTGATTTTAAAAATAATAGTTCTTGAGATGCTTTCTGTGGGTATCTGAGGATGAAAGGTATTCAGGAATTGAAGGGTTTTAGAAGGGAAAAAGATGTACTACTTCTTGGAGTGTACTCTGGCAAATTGTGAGCATTTTGGTGAGGAGGCTTGGGTTTTGCTAACACATCTTCATGCTGCAGAGCCATGCTCAACTCTCTGCACTCACTGAGGCTCATTTGGAAATTATTCAGCACAACATCCTGTTCAGACCATCTTCATCTTCATGTAGACTTAATAAGTAAATAAATAAATAAATTGGTTTCTACTTAGAAGAGCACCAGTCTTGCATAATTGCTGGAAATAGCATAAATGCTAATTTAAGGGTAGGCAAGATCAAGCTGTTTCCATCACTGTTTTAGAAAGCATTTCTGACTTCCTGGAAATTTAAAGGATTTTTGTCAACCCACTCAGCATTCTAGCCTTGAAGTTTGTTTCGATGTAAGCAGCCTACACAATGCCCAAATGGGCATCTGAAAGCACCTACCACCAAAGCACAAGCCATCTCTCCTTTAAAAGTCATTGCTGCCTTTTTGTCAGCATGTCCAGCAGACCTGTAGCACATCACAGAGACTGCTTCAACCTTTGACAGCTGCCTTTCCTCTCTTGACATTATATATAATATATCCATTACCAGCACACTGTGGCTCCCAGATTCCACCCCCACAAGGTAGCTCATACAGCTGTAATGCAGCAAGAAAAGTTGGCAGCACCTGTGCCAAACAAGAACATCATTCCTTGTTCTTGCAGCTCTGTTCCACTGTCCTAAAATGGCTCATGTAATACAAAACATAGTCATTTCTTAGTTGTACAACCTAAAGCAGGCTGGAGCGATGCTCAGAAAGAATTGCAGTGAAAGTGCCTATTTCTCAATACCTGAAGACTGAGGTAACATTTTACAACATGTTTTCAAACACTACTAATCACTGGTAGGTGTTTGTGGTCCAATATAAAATCTCACCTCATTCTCTGAGGTGAATTACCAAGGGCCTAGAACACCATAGCTGCATCTTCTGAAGCACACAATAACACGAATTGTGATTAATTACTTCGTAGTATCCAGGAAATACTGCTGGACTCCTTAGAAAGTGTTATCACAAGCAATATGATATGCTATGTTAAGCGAAGCAAAGCTGAAAGGCAATGGTTTAAATTACAGAATGGGTTAAGTTACAGTAGTTCACCAAGAGATCTCTGCAAAGCTGCTGGTTGTGTTTTCCTCATTGCCCTTTGACATGATGTATAGCCAGCTGAGAGAGCAAATATATTTACTGAGTCATTTCTATGGCATATGTTATTTACAAAGGCCCATCATTAAATGAAAGCATTTACTTTTACAAGCATCACTCGCTCAATTACCAACGCTGCTCCAAAAATTTTAACTCATACCTACGCACTGGGTGCAACTACACCACGTCAATCAGCCCAACCATGGGAAGCAGCTTTAACCACTCGCTGCTGGTCAGAATTGCACTGTAAGTGCTGGAGACAGTAACATACTTCAATACCTTCACTCCGGCACACGTGACGGTGGAACAAAAGCATATTTCAGTGCCCCAATCTCGTGACAACCAATGTGCGTCCTCTTCAATCCCATTCCCTGTGGCACTGACATCACCCAGCGCTCTCCATCTGCTCAAATGACACAGCGTGACCACACACAGCTCTGATAAGGAGCTCACTGTGTCACAGCACTGTGACACAGGCAGGATGCATTCAGCACATATCCACGGCTGTTCTCCACGACGGCCATCGCATGACGGCAGCCCCAGCTCCCACTTTCCCAACTGAGACGTGAAGTAGGAAAATAAATCACATTTTAATTTCACTGTCCTTATGACCGGAGAAAAACCAAGGGGGAAAATGAAATGAGGGCTCTAATGGAAGCCACCAGGGTCGGGTACGTGCAGCTAATGAAGAGACACGGTTCCATTTAAAGCCCAAAAGGTAACTCTCAGCCTGAGCTAACACGTAAGACAACATTCAAATCAATTTTCTCTGCTGCAGCCTCCACCTGTGACACCTTTACCCTACCGGGCACCTCAACGAGACTGCAGGGCAGGACGTTGGAGGGGGGGGGGGGAAGCCAAGGGTACAAATCGGACCGAGCCGGACTCGACCCCGCGTTGAGCAGCAACGCAGAACCCGCCAGCCCTCACGCCGCAACCCGACCTCGCACAGCCCCGCCCCTTCCTGCGCCTCCCCAGCCCCCCCATCACCCCGGCGTTCCCGGACGCCCCCCTCACGTGACGGCGCGGCCGGTTGAGCGACACCGAGCTCAGCCAATGGCGTTACGCCGCCCCCACTCGTAGGCGGGTCCTGTCGGGCCCAGCCGCGCGGCCGCGGCGAAGTTACCTCCGGGCGCTCCGGGAAGCTGCGGCTCCGCGGTTGGTGAGGCGCCGCTATGGAGGAGGCCGAGCCGAGCGAGCGCAGCCCTTTGCTGGGCAGCGGGGAGCGCGGACGCGCGGCGATCGGCGCCTTCCACGGGCGGCGGTTGGCCTGCGCCGCCGTACTGCTGGCCGAGCTGCTGGAGCGAGTGGCCTTCTACGGCATCACCTCCAACCTGGTGCTGTTCCTCAACGGGCCTCCGTACGGCTGGGAGGGCGCCCAGGCCAGCCAGGCCCTGCTGCTCTTCATGGGCATCACCTACCTGGTGTCGCCGTTTGGCGGCTGGTTGGCCGACGCGCTGCTGGGCAAGTTCGGCACCATCCTGCTCAGCATGGCTCTCTACCTGCTGGGCATGCTGGCCTTCCCCGTCATCGCCGCGCCGCACACCCGCCAGGGTCTCTGCGGGGACATCCCGCTGTTCCCCGTAGAGAACTGCTCCTCTCCGGCCGCCAACGCCACGCTGGCGCCGTGCTCCCAGGTGGGAGCCACCCGTTACTGCGCCGCCGCCACCTTCGTGGGACTGGTGCTGGTGGGGCTGGGCGTCGGGTCGGTCAAGGCCAACATCACCCCGTTCGGGGCAGATCAGGTCAAGTATCGCGTGGTGGCTGCCACGGCGTTCGGTGGTGCTGGTGTGGCCCAGGGGATGGGTGTAGGACACGGTCAGCGGGGTGGATGGCGTGCCAACTGCTTCACGGAGGTGCTAAGCTTGGAGGGACTCGCGGCTTCCAGCTCCAGCTTCTGTGTAATGCAGGCTGCGGAGCCGTGCCCTGTTGGATGGGGTTTAGGAGTTTGCACCACGCCTGATCTCTTACAGCTTCTGGCTTCTGCGCAGTCCAGGGATCTGATCTGGCTGAGGGTGTCACCACAGCGAGGAGCTGGGTTGGGTTCTTGGTGGTCGTGGAGTAGATTGTCAGCTATCCTACTTGGTGGAGTTTGCACTGAGTTAATATGACCTCGGAGCTCAATCAGGTGGAATACCTGATAGACATTTTAGCTTTGACAAGAGTAGCATGGGTCTTCTGGGGCAGTGCTCTGGAGCCTTTATCATCCTACATGATGAATGAAGGATAGACAATAGGCATTGGGATTTTTGTGCAGGCTGATGCTGTTCCAGATGACTGGTGGGAATGTGTTCTCTGAGCAGTAAGTGTATGACCTGAGCTGTTCTCATAAGAACGTGTCCTGTCCAATGGTCATGCTGAGATCCAGTTCAGTGATATGATTCACAGGGTCATCGCTGCAGAATCAAGTGACTTTATAAACAGTATTTGACAGATAGTATAGTCTGGAATGCACTGTTATGTGTATTTTTTTTGTAGTCTTATGCTAAAGTAGGATGCTGACTGTGAGGAACTCATGTTTAATTCCTGCTTTACAAATTGAGAATTTCAGATCGTTAGATACTGAGCATCTTTCCCAACAAATCCACTGTAGGTTCTGAAGAAGGGAACATACCTCCAATCCAGCTTACTGGTCCATTGAGTGCTGGCTACTGCAACAGGCAAAAAAGTACCATGAAATCATTTGTGAGAGGTTAGGATCTACCACAACCTCCTTGCCAAGTGTCCCTTTATTCTCTGTTGTGCAGTTTATATTTCTCATTCTTTGGCATTTCACATATTATAGATTCTGGAGTGAAAGGCAGTATATAAATGTAAAACGTTATTATAGACTGGGATTGTATGTCTCCAGTGTATCAGCTCTGTTTAAACCAGCACGAGCCCATCAAGTGAAATAGCTTTAATATGACTTTATCTTGTAAGGTGTTTTTCAAAACTGACTTCTTATCCTCAGGAC